TCCAGAAAACCAAGGAACACAGAGAAAGAGCAGGGGATCAGGGAGAGTAAAGCCTTCACAGGTCAGGCAGGGTCAAAGTAAGAGAGAGGACCAGGGATCCTCCCCAGGAGAGACCTACAGGTTGGGGTTATGGAGATTATAGGAGATGAGCCGTGCCCCACCGCTGGGTATCATCTGGGTGAGAAAGTGCGCCTAATTCCAGCAAACACTAATCAAGAGGTGCTGAGCAGCCCCAGTAATGGAGGCTGGGTCTCCAGCCTTGCTCAGTAGAGTCCAGGGGAGCCTGATGGTTCAGAGGCAGCAGAAGCAGGATGGAGCCAAGATCACATCCTCAGGCCCAGATTTCCTCCTTTGTTCCTCATGTGAGCTTGAAGGTCTGGTCTTCTCAGCACCATATTTGAGCGTGGAAGGAACAGAGGTAATAGGTGCCCTGGGCAGGACTCCATTCCCTCCCTGACTACCATCCCAGCCCACAGGATGGTTCGCTTGCCACAGACTGCCTTTTCCCTTCTTTCCAGCCATGCCAGAGCTCATCCAGGAAGAGGAGAGATTTCTCCCCCAAACGGCTCCATTTCTAACCTCTTGTGAATCTTGTCTCTCAACCAAGTTTGGGGTCTGGTGGGCCAGGGAGGTGGGTGGGTTAGTGGTTTAGGGATATGTATATGGGGTGGGAGTGGGGAGTGAGGGTAGGCCGTTCAGTCTGGGCCCAGGACTGGATGGATTCCCAGTTTTGGGGAGCCTGAAACTGATATGAGGAGGAGGAGACAGTTTTTAAGAAGAGGAACAGAACATAACAAATGCAAAAATATAGACCTTGGGTATAGGTCTGTGCAAGGACACAGGATGGAGGTTACAAAGATAGTACTGGCCAGGGAGTCAGGACCCTGTTCCAAACCTGCCTCTGCCACTCCCTAGATGGTGAAATTAGAGCACATTTCTGTCTAGCTCGTCTCTAAGGTCCTTTTCACCTTCCTTTCCTCCTTCATTCATTCAGTCGTTTCATGAACAAAGCTATTTAAAAGTCACCCAAGCCCCTATTACTTTTTTAAGAAGCCTCTTCCTGCCTCACATTAAATGCAACAAAATGCATTCGTATCAACCATTAAATATATACTCGTATGTGCTGTGTTCTTAAGCTTTTTTTAAACTTATAATAAGTTGAGGGGTGCCTAGGTGGCTCAGTGGGTTAAAGCCTCTGCCTTCAGCTCAGTTCATGATCCCAGAGTCCTGGGATCGAGCACCGCATCGGGCTCTCTGCTCGGCAGGGAGCCTGCTTCCCTTCCTCTCTCTGCCTGCCTCTCTGCCTACTTGTGATCTCTGTCTGTCAAATAAATAAAATAAAAATCTTAAAAAAAAATAAATAAACTTATAAGTTGAACTTCTTCAACTTCACTTTTGAAAATTTCATTCATTTGACAAATATTTCATTGAGCACCTAGTATGAGCCAAGCACTGTTCTAGATGTTGGGGTACAGAGTTAACTAAAATCCCTTCCCTTACAGAGCCTACATGGGGTCAAGCTCCACAAATAGATTAAAAAAATACATATATATATATAAAATGTATACACACACATATATATGTATATATATTTTTTGCTTATATATATATGTGTGTGTATATATATGTATATATATGTATGTATATATATATGTATGTGTATATATATGTATGTATATACATATATGTATATATATAAAACATATATATGTATGTGTATATATATGTGTATATATATGTATGTATATACATATATATATATATAAAACAGCAGATTGTGATAAATGCTAGGGAGAAAAATAAAGCAAGGGGGAAAAAAGCAAAAAAATAAATTTGAAAAATGAAGCCAGAATGGGGGTGAGGTTGGTTTATTGCCCATGAAGTTCCCTGGGTTTCAGCGGTTAGTTTTGGCCCGAGGCCAGTATTAATAAAGGATCCCTGAAGTTAGCCCTAGGAAGATAACATCGGTAAGACTGGAGTTCTTGCCAGGAACTCAGGATCCTGGAGCTGAGCCTTGACTCAGAGATAATTCAGATGTTGGTTGGCTCAGATAAACTCGATCCCTTTAGAGATGTGTATTGCTAAGTTACAAGCTTAGAATGGAATGTTTATGAATGCTAAATTTCAGCATAAGGATGGCATCCTAGAATAACATTTGTAGACCCAGTTAAGTATATGTATATTAGATTGTGTTGGTGCCTATTTCAATTTGGAAGCCCAGATGTGCTTTTAAAGGTGTCGCCGATTTCCTATGCCCTGGAAAGCTCGCGGGTATTGTGCCAAGTAAATTATCCTGTTAATGAACTTCTGACTTTGGGCAGAGGCTCCTGTGGGCATGGAGGTGAGTAAAGACCCAGGTAGGCCCTGCTCCAGGGTACTCATCATTTACCTTCCTATCGACTTTGGGCTTCTGCATTTAGAGATCTGCAAAGAGATCTCCACCCCATAGGGGGATCTGAGGCTGCAACAAGATCACTCCTGGTCCTCACACAGACCCCCCAACTCTTTGTACCTTCCTCTATATTATCCTCAGCATCTCTCCTTGAAACACGCCCCCCCCCCCCCCCCCGCCCACGGCCACCAGCTCCCCTGCTAGGTCCTGCAACTCTCCATTTGGCCTCAGCCCATTCCTGAAAGTCTGACTCCCAGAGCTGCTGTCCCTGAGCCCTGCCATTCCAGCTTCATTATTGCCAACTTCCATGCCTTCTCACTGCCTTTCTCTCTTTGGCCCCTCTCCTTCATAAAGTGGTTTCCACCCTGTCCTTTGGGGACATTTGGGAAACCCACTGCCATCGCATTCCAGGGCCATGCGGAAAACTGGCTTGTCCCCTGCTACAACATCCAGACCATTAACTCTTTGCTGTCCCCTGCTCCTCCTTGGAAGATCATGCCGACTGGCTCTAGTACGTTCCCTTTCAATCCTAAGGTGTGGGCCTGGTGCCCTGATAGTCAGCAGTGCTTACCCTCAGAGGGGTGCCCCACCTGAGCTTGTTCCCATATGCCCGACCTCTTCAGCCACAGGCAGCACCATTTTCTAGGACACATATCACCTTACTCCATGCATCTCCTACTCAGGGCCTTCCTTTCCTACCATAACCAAACTCACCTCTCATTAAACCCTCAGTCACATAACCTATCCATTTTCCCCACTCCCTTTGTTCTACCTGATTTCCTTCCCCTGGGACCTGGAGCCCCTCAGCCCCTTTGGTGTTGCCCCCACAAATGGCCTAAACTCCCCTAAATTTACCCCTTAGTTGGTGCACGCTCAGCCTGAGACTATTCTGCCTTCCTTCTCCTTTCCTGCTCCTTGGCTGGGAGTTGGCTGGTGGAGAGGGTTATCATTCCATGCTAAACGGACCAACTGCAAAGTCATCCTATCTCTACTCTTTCCTTTTGGCAATCTGATGCCTTTCTCATAAAAGCACACTTTCATGACTCCAGTCACTATCTCAATCCTGCTCCTTCACCCTCAAATTTTATTCCCACTCCTCTTGCCAATTTCTGAAAATGTCTTCATCTGCCACTTTCTGGAAGCCAATCATTAAGGGTTTTGTCCTCTTTGTGCTAAAAATGCCCTCCTTTTCCCAGCAGATTAATTTTGTTCCCTCCAAGTCATAACTGCCTGGCCCAGGCGAAGGACATTCCAGGTACTGAAACCTTGCCAAGGGAAGTCATGCAAGTGTTATTTGTGAACGCAGAACTCATGGAAGGCAATAGATTAGAAAGTGGAGTTCTGATTTTCTGAGGGTCAGTGGTGATGTCCTACAACTACAGGCTTGGTGAGCTTGCCATCATTCTCAGGGAGGATTACAAAAGGGCTGCTTTAGGTGATTTGGAAAATGTCACAGCAATTATTAGGAGCTAGTACAAGTTCTTTAAGTCTCATTTTGACAAGGTTGCTCAACAGGTAAATCAAATGCCATAAATCTATTTGATCTGGATTTCAAACAAGGTGTTTTCTGATACCCAAGTAAGCAAGGAGAAAAATATGGTCCGTATTAAAGTAAAATTAAGATGATTAGTTACTGGGAGAGTGTGCCCAAAGAGTGCTGAATAATTGATTAATCTATCAGAAAGGATGGTTCTAGAAGTTTGCTGGGAAGGTCCTAGCCTGAGACCATCTGCATTCAACGTTTTCCCAAATTTTTAAATTATAGTATAGAAGGAATATTTATAAATAGGTAGGTAATATTTGTAGAAGGGATTATTTTGGAGTAAATAATTAAAACCAGGATTAAGTTAATGAATTCAAACAAGACAACTTTAATAGGAAAAATTCATTAAAAATATATTAAGTGAAAAAAGCAAATCATTGAAAAAAATTTCAAGAAGATTCTAAGTGAACATATCTTTCTATACACTTCTTTGTGTATTTGTTACATTTTACAGAAAAAAAAAAAATCAATCCAACCATCCATCAGGCCAAAGTCCTCGAATCCCAAAAAACTCCCCCAAGCCCCAACAATCTAATCACCATGAGGTGTGGAAAAGACTTTGGGGTTGACAGTGTTAGTCAAAGAGTCAGCTGATCAAGGCTACATGCAGAGAAGACAGGTTTCAGCCCCGCTCTGCGCAAACCGCTGGGGTTGGGGCCAGGGACTGTGAATCTTTGGGGAGCTGCTCCTTCCCTGGGTGTTAGGCAAGTGACTGAGTGAGGGGCGCTGACCCCATGTGATGTGAGAGGTCATCTTCTGTCCTCAGAAACCTGTTTTTCTGCTAAGGGGACACTTAGGAGCAATCCCAGGGGGCAAAAGACAAAATGATGGGTAGAAGTCACTGAGACCTGTGTGGCTCCATAAGTAACTTTCTAACAGACACGTGGCTTTAGATTTTTTTTGAAGATTTATTTATTTATTTGAGAGAGAGAGAGAGAGCACCAGTGGGAGGCACAGAGGAAGGGAGGGAGAAAGAGAATCTCTAGCAGACTCCCAACATTGGACTCAACGTGGGGCTTGATCTCATGCCCCTGAGATCATGACCTGATCGGAAACCAAAAGTCAGGAACTTAACCGACGGAGCCATCCAGGTGCTCCTGGACAAACGGCTTTAGAAAGTACTGAGCTTCCTGTCTCTGAATGTTTTCATGCTGACACTGAAGGAGTTCTGTAAGAGGATGTCGTAAAGGGCACAAAGAGATCCATCGCCTTTGGTGACCTTCAAGGTCCCTTCCAAACTCCATGGCACGTTTCTATGAAAATCCATTATTCTATGAAATCTGTGCATGAATGCCCGTCCTTACGGGCTTTCCCTTAAAGCTAGAGGCTGAATCTGAAACAAAAGAAGTCTGTTTTTAAAGATAAGCATTATGTTTTGACAGCCATTTTCTTTTTAAATCAGTACATGGTATTGGTTTAGAAGATTTAGGCACCTTCTACCCCACATTTCTAAGATTTCAGTGGCAAAGAGCTTTGAGACCCCTCCCTCCCGCCCACCCAGACACCAAAGCAAAGCTTTTCCAGATGTGCTTCAAGATTCTTGGTGCTGGAGGGATACCTGAGGTCCTATCTTCCTCCCCCAATCCAAATACAAGACATCGATACAGACTCACGAGTTGACAGCTGGAACCACAACTGGACAGAAGCTGAGACCCGTGCTGTTCTCTCCTGCCACCTGCTGGCCCTTCCCTTCAGGTCTTGATTCTGCAGCGTTCTGGTGGTGTCCGTCCAGGAGAATTCATTTCCAGGAGGCCTAGAGGGGAACAGGAGTGTTCCCTGTCTCTAAGGGGAAAGCCTGGATGACTTCCAGTGGTTCCTCCTCATTCTAAGAAAATTGTAACTTTGCAGATGACAATGACTGGAAGAGACCTTCAAACCTGTTGTAAGTCAGCCCTCGATTGATATCCCACGGACAGGACTGATTTGGCGCAGGAGTGTTGGGTAATTTTGAGCTAACATACACAAACGACTTAAAAATCAGATTTGTGGTGTAATTTGCTATTGGATAGTCACGAAGTCGCAAAGCTGAGAGCAGCATGTAGGTGAGTACGCCCACATTTCAGTTGCAAGCCACGCCAATAACAAGAGGACAATAGCACCATCACAAAAGTCCCGCACCTGCCCTGTCTACTTTTCCAGTCTCTGCCCCGCCTCCTTCTAGAAGAGCTGGCCACTGGGGAAGAGGGAAGCATTGGGGGTGGTGGTCGGGGGGAGAACTGAAAGAAGCGGTGACCTAGCTGGTGGGCTGAAGTTTTGAATTATATTTGGGATTCAAATGTTTATTTAAATGGCAACACTTTTTAATACCTAAAAGGACGCTCTAATTTTAAAGGGAATCTGTTCCTATTTTGGACACTTGATCAGAAAGTCCCAGAATCTGATCTCTTGGCCCAAGACGTCATCAAAAGGTGGACAGGGGAATCCAGAGTTCTGCCAAAGAAAGACCTAGAAGGAAACAGCCACTTCTTTCTTCCTGTGCTATCAAGCTCAGCCCTTCTAATGAATCGGTTAATAAAACCTCGTTTCCCCATGGCAATTGTCCTGAGCTGAGAGGCAGCTGTCGCCTTTAGAAGCTCAAGCTTGGTCCGCCTCGCCGGCCCTCCTTCCCATTACCTGCCTAACCCCCACAGCACTGGAATTTACCTCACTTGTAGTCCATTTTCCAGTGGGCAAAAGGAAGCCCAGAGGGGACAGTCTTGTGCTAGTTCACATAGAAAAGGAGCTGAGTTTCATCCTAACATCCAAACTCTTAAAGGTAAAATCCATGGAAATGGTGTCTGGTGTATGGCTCCCTTTCCTTCACGTTCCTGTGCCTATCCTCAACCACACTAGACCTTTTCTCCCAACCCTTGGAAGGGGCGAAGGGGAGCTGGGGCATGGGGTAGCCAAGTTGCAGGGGTTTGGGGCGCGGACCTCCTGAGTCATTTGAGGCCAGTTCTGTCCCCAGCCCCTCCTCTCCCACCCCCAAGCACCAAACTTAGGTCAAAGCAAGCAGCTCTCTTCCTTCCTCGTGTTCCTTCTCCACTAAGCTCAGGCTGAACTGGTATACAGGAGATCCTCGAGAGGCAGCCTGTCCAAGCAGACATTGTTTTGTGGGTGGGGACACCGAGACACTCTTAACTCTTTTGTTCCTCTCTATTTCAGACCTCATTACCCACCCCAAAGCCCCAGGAACCCGGCGAGATGTCTGGGAAGTGGCTGGGCCTTTTCTTTGGGATTAGATGTCCCAGGAGGCAAACACAGAGAGAAGCCCCTCGCCCCTCCCTCCTTAGCTGAGCCTCTGCTACATCCAGGCCCAGCTCAGCTGAGTCCAGAGAGAGAAATTCTACCTTTGATAAAAAACCGTTAATACTTGTTGCCTCCAAAAAGGGGGAACTGGGAACATATCACTCTGTACCCTTTCCTTAAGTAGACTTTATTTTTTTAGAGCTGTTTTCTGTTTGCTGCATAATTGAGCAGAGCTACAGAGTGTGACCATTTACCATCTACCCCCGCCCCTACCTACACACAGCCTCCCCCAACATCAACTTCCCACCAGAGGTGTCCATTTGTTACCATTGATGCCTAGCCACTGACACGTCACCATCCCCTGGAGCCCAGTTTCCCTTAGGGTCTAATTCTCGGAGTCCATGATGTGGGTTTGGACGAATGTCTACTCACATGTGTCCACCAGGACAGTATCCTACAGAGAACTCTGTGCCCTCTGCCCTTTTATACATTTGGAATTCTGAACCAAGTGTCCCTAATTCATATAAGGGAAAACAGTTTGAACATTCTTCCCAACTCAGAATGACAGGAGATCCTGGGGTTGTGGGGGTTAGTCCTCCAGGGGAGCTCGTTTGCAGCACCTGGAGGCAGCCGTGGGCAAGATGAAGTGAGGGAGGTTTTGTGTCCCTGTACTCTCTTTAGTCCCTGCTATTCGAGTTGTCTGAATACGAGCAAGGAAGAAAAAGTCCAGCTAATCAATGTATTGTGTTGTTCACCAGGGTTTTACGATGTTACAAATCTTCAGTCGTTGTCTGGTTTTAAACATGGCGGATAACACTTTTTACCATGGCAGAAGAGAGACCGGGCAGGGCCTCACTTTGGGGGTGAGGGACAGGAACCTGGACCACCTTCTCCCTTCTTGTGGCAAAAGGAAACATTTTCTAACCATGGGCATCCATAAAGCTTTCTCTGGGACGAAATTTAAGCTTTGTCTATTTGAGACCTTCCACCCATTTCCAGACTTTTTTCCCCCCATGAAGCATGTTAATAACATCCTGGAAAAGGCCAGGGAGAAGGAATTTCACAGTCCCTGAGCAGACAGCTATAACTTTAACTTCTCATGCAGCAAAGGCGGTGGGAAGACCAGGCTGATCCTGGGCAAAGGCAGGAACAGGGGAGACCAGGCCTGGCAGGGTGGTCGGAGAGGCCACAAAACTTGCTTCCTACTAGAAGCTCTGGAAGCACCTGGGGGAGACTGGGGCATGATGGTGGATAGGGACTGCCCAGGGGATGCTTTCACATCCAACATTCAGCAGCCTTGGGAGGTCTCATGCCCATTTTGCAGATGAGAAATGAAGGCTCTCAGACGTGAGGTGGAGACCAGCAAACAGCAAAGGCAAGGCGAGCAGGGCCCAAGGTTTCACGTGAGGTCTGGAGCAGGACTGTCAGCACAGAGGTCCCCACGGTGACGTTCTCATACAAGCCAATGTATAGTGGCTGGCTGAAGATGGCAAGTTACCATTCTCATTCTTGGCAGAACCACGTGGTCAGACACACTCTCACTGGCAAAGAGGTCGAAGTCATAGCAGTCCATGGTCTCAGAGGCCAGGGGGATGGCCGCCTGGATATGAATGTCTAAACCCTACAGCACGGGAATTTACCTCGCCCTTGTCCTAGTCATTTTTCGGTGGGCAAAAGGAAGCCCAGAGGGGAAAACTGTCTTGTGCTAGTTCACATAGAAAAGGACAGAGGTAGGAGTAGGGGAGATAATGAAGTGCTGGGAATCACTCTCTACCTTGAACATCCTGTTCAGGCCCAAGTTCCATTACTCTGCACAATCCTCTTCCCATGGGCCATAGGGCAGGGATGAAGGAACACTGGAGCTTGGAAACTCCTCCAGAGGAAACAGGAATTCAGAGAGGTTAACTAAGGCACCCAAGGTCGCACAGGACACTGGAGGCCATGAAGATAAAAGTCCAGGCCCAGGTCCCAGGCTGGGCTGCCTTCCAGGCCAAGGGAAACAGGGTCAGGGCATCCCCCAATTGTCGCTCCAGTGTAACCTGAGCTACCAGAGCAAACAGAGTAAGGCTGAGCACTCCAGAGCCATATCCGAGTGAAGGCTGGCAAGTGAGGCCAAGCAGGGAGTTGCCCCGAGGAGGGGAGTTTTGAACTGGCTTTAGGAATGAAGGGAGAATGGACTAGAAGAGTTCCAAAGACTAGCAATTCTAGTTTTGAAATAAGTTATGGAAGCCTCGCTGATACAGAGGACATTTTTGATAAAATGAAAAAGTTGGAGTCTTGAAGTGACAGAACAGAGCTAAGGGCTTCACACCCGAAGAGAATTCTGGCAAGGCTGAGCTGGTGTAAAGGGCAGCCTCTAGCAGTATTTTTCTCTTGACCTTCTTCGGTCTGTAATTTTGACCCGTTGACCCTGGATTTGGCCGAGGAGCTAAAAAGGTTTAAGACTAACGACCAGCCTTTGACAGCTGAAAGATCCTATTCTCAGAAGCAGAATGCAGGAGTGAGAAGCACACATTAGCCTGCTCTCTACGAGGCAAACCCCAAAATACCAGCAGGCGCGCGGGCGCCTACGGCCTCAGGCAGGCAGGATGTGAAATGTCAGACCATTAGTCTTGTATTTTTACTGCAGTGGCTACAGGATGGGGTTGAGGTGGGAATGAAAATGCATGCTGACTTAAGAGAGTTCTTTTCTTTGAGCCTTAAATATCGCCACCCACTCACCAGGCTCGGGAACGAGTAATGGCTACGGAAGATACTGAGGCTGAGCCTTCGTTTCCCCTTGGCCTTCATTCCTTGGCTCTCAGCAAAGGCAGAAAATGCCAGGTCAGTGGCGACCGGTGCCTGCCAGCAGCAGAGAAGTTTCTTATTTCATCTGGCTCCGAGACAGAACTATAGTCACAACCACTAAGGTGGGAAGTTCCTGCCATAAGTGATACTGTGAGATCGGAAAGGCAGAGGAAGCCATCAACGTGAGCCAGAAAGAGAGGTTAAGTCAATTCTAACGGTAAACCATGGGGAGCATGTGCTGTGAGATTAGCTATTTGTATTTGTAGTGTATTCCAAATATATGCACAGGTCTCCACATTTTTGGTATGAAAATTCTGGTTTCAACCTATATTCCTTGTATCAGTTAATTTACTCAAATACTGAAATCCAAGAATTCTCATAGCTAAGGCAGTTCAAACCAAAAGGATCTAGGTTTCCCTGACTAGTGAGAAATAGGACTCAAAAACGTCTTCTAATAGTCATTGAAGAATTCAAGTATGCTTTTGCAGCTGGGAGACATCTGAAGGTTTCGGTGGCTCCCCTCTAACCCCAAGACCTCCCCCTGCAAAGGTACTCAGTTACAGAACAAGCACCACTACAAAAGGGGTGAATCTGTAAATAACACTGGTCCAAAGCCCCTACATTCATCAAGGATACTATTCCAAGGCACCTGGGTGACTCAGTCCGTTCAGTGTTCAGGTTATGATCTCAGGGTCATGGGCTCGAGCCCCGTGTTGGGCTCCTTACTCAGTGGGGAGTCTGCTTCTCCCTCTCCCCTTGCCCCTCCCCCCACTTGTGCTCTTTTTCTCTCTCTCAAATAAATAAATAAAATCTTAAAAAGAAAAAAAGGAGGAATACCATTCCAGCAAGTCTTCAGAAGTACAGCCTCATCCTGGTCAAAATCTCAGCAGAACCCCCTAGGAATTCTGGAAGGTCGGGTATCAAGTTGTAAACTTCAAATACTAGCACTTAAACATCATGGCCCTTGGGCTCCAGGCTTTTTGCTTCTCTTCCTGGAATTCTTGGGCAATCTTCCCTTCACCCTAATTTGCTCTTTTCCTCCTGCTAAGGAACAAAACTGACTGTTTGAAGGGCATCATTTTAGGCATCCAAGAACCTCCTTCTTCCTACTTGCCTAAAAGAAGTATGCACATCCCATCAGTGAGACAGAGGCTTGGGGAAGCAAGGTGAAAAGTAAAATCCCCCCCACACACTTGATTCTACTCAAAACTATAAGCTTTTATTATATTTTACATATCATTCATCCAGGACGCGATGAATATGCAGTTGGCATCTTCTCGCTTGTGAAATGACACAGTGCGAATAAAGCCTCCTGCCGTGTGCTGGGCCTGGGCAGGCAGAAGCTGGAATGGGGCCCTGCCTGGGCGCTGGCAGCGGCCTCATTTCTGAACTGTCACACTTACTGGATGGAGTTAGATGGGTTGAGACTGACATTGAGCTTGGAATTTCAGTTTCTAATTTTACACTTTGGATTGTAAGACAGTTTGTTTTATAGTCTACTTTAAAATCAAAAGGTTGCCCACTCACTTTGCCATCACTTTGAGTATGGGATTTGTTATTCACCAAGCTGTATTTGTAAATCAAACAGAGACAAAGCACACTTCAGTATCACAGCTCAGGAAAAACTGGGAAGGTGGTTCTATTTCCCTGTCGGGCACACTGTTCCCCAGAACCTGTTCCCACCCAGAGAACAAGGGCTTCGCCTCTCAGATGCAGAGGCGGCAGGGAGAGCTCTGGTCTCCAGCTGGAGGCTACAGCTGCATTCTTTCTCCTCCTGCTCTGTGTACGCCTGACACCTTCCTTCCTCAGTGGGGAGACTATTGGCACTGAGCAGTTAACAGGCTCACCAACAGCCATGTTTTGAGAAAGTGTTAAAAATAAAACAAGAGGGGCGCCTGGGTGGCTCAGTGGGTTGGGGCCTCTGCTTTCGGCTCGGGTCGTGGTCCCGGGGTCCTGGGATGGGGCCCCGTGTCGGGCTCTCTGCTCGGCGGGGGGCCTGCTTCCCTCTCTCTCTCTGCCTGCCTCTCTGCCTGCTTGTGATCTCTGCCTGTCAGGTAAATAAATAAAATTTTTAAAACAAAACAAAACAAAACAAAAAAACAACAAAATGAACAGGAGCTACTGACAGGGTTCAACCGAAGCTTATTGCCTATTCTGCTAATAACCACACCTTCCAGACTTCTGGAAGCTTCCCAACATGTGTTTTAGCACCGGCACTGTGACGGAGCTGCCTTGCCCAAAGATTGTGACCCCAGATCCACAAAGGCCATTAAGAAATGAATTCTAGGGACGCCTGGGTGGCTCAGTTGGTTAAGCAGCTGCCTTCGGCTCAGGTCATGATCCCGGCGTCCTGGGATCGAGTCCCACATCGGGCTCCTTGCTCGGCAGGGAGCCTTCTTCTCCCTCTGCCTCTGCCTGCCATTCTGTCTGCCTGTGCTCGCTCTCTCCCTCTCTCTCTCTCTCTGACAAATAAATAAATAAATAAAATCTTAAAAAAAAAAAAAAAAAAAGAAACGAATTCTAAAGCTGTGAGAATAAAAGAGCCGAGCTTGTGAAGCCAATTAAATAATGTGACCCTCACCAGCATGCCGCTTGGAGCACAGGGCAATGAGACACAGGTAAAAAGACACGCCCTTAGGATGCACGGATTTGATCAAGGGCACAGCTCATAAAAATAACGACCTGGAACTTTCCTAGAGGAAGTTTAGCGAACACGCCACTAGCAAGAAATGAGAGGGCTTCAGTGCCAGCAGCGTGACATGTCAGTCCCGAGCCAACATCCTCAAAAGAAGAGGTCCTTGTTCTTTCTGGGCTCATGGACGCTGGGGAAAAGACTGCCCCCTACCCGGAGGCAGGGGAGATCAGCACAGAGCAGCTCAGGAAGTTGAGAGAGCTAGGAAATCGATCTGGGACAATTCGGAGGAGAGGCTTTGACACTTTAAACCAGTGTGAGGTAAGAATGAGGACAGGTTTAAAATTTGGACCCCAGGATCTCGCACATTACACCAAATATAGATGTCTGCTTCAAAAGCTCTAATTCCTCCTGCTGTAACGGGGCATACACAGGAGTCCTTCAGAAGCACTGGCAGGCTAGAGTGACACAGTGAGGCCCATTCCAGATGTTGGCCACAGCGTGCAACGAGTGCCTGAGGTGCTAAACTGGAGCCCTACTAGCTCCCACAGAGGGTGGGAAAGGGCTTCCACCTTGGCCCCATGGTGGGCATGTGGGGGAGAGACACAAGGGGCAGCGAGGGAGGAAGAGGGTACCCTTCTAGAAGCTGCCATGTTGAGCCTCAGATGGACAAGGTTCTCTTACAGTCAGAGCAACCCAAAACCAGCATGGGGAAGGGGATAATGAGCAAATTCTGAGAGTTCATATATTAATGTCCTTCCAAATTAAAAAAATGATTTTTTATTTTTACATTTCTAAAATCACAGAACTCCAGGCTGAATGTTATCAGACACATGCATGCACACACACACACACACACACACACACACACAATCTCTGATTTCTGGAGTCATCTCCCATACCCTCTCTCAAAATCTGGCTGAGTTACGCCTCAGGGTAATTTTCCAGTTCAACCCTACACAATGATTTGGGATAAATAGAAACACTGAATTACCCACAGTTCCAAAGTGCTCTGACAGGATAACTTTTGCTGGGTTGGAATACAATTAACAAGAAAAAAGCTGCATGTGGAGTTCTTTCTGGGTGTGGTTAAAATGTGAATTTGTATGCCTCCTGACCCGCAGGCTTTGTTCTCCTCCCCTCTCGCTGTTTTGTCTTGTCTCTTCCTACCAGGATGGCAACAAAAATACACCTTCTATTCAGAATCCCACTGGAGAGTAGGTGGTTCAGATGAGCAGTCCTGTTACATATTAAGTTACTGGGCCTACAGCTGAGAAATCTGAACTCTGAGGATACAACTCAAAGTCAATATTATCTCAAGGTAAATAAACAAATTACTTAGCTGGCCCCTGAAATGCTTCGTTGTCTCTAAAATCATAACCCCAACACGGGACTTTTGCCTTCTGCTGTATCCCAAAACAAAAATCAGGTAACCTGACATCCTCAAAATGATTCAGATCATGCTGTCCTATTTCTCCCCTCAGTGCTGAGAAATGGCTCCAGAGCCTGGAAGTTGTCACGTATGTGGTCTGGGTTACTCGGTGCTCAGGTAAACACTGCCACATGCCTGACCTTGACTAACACAGACTGCCTCTCTAAGCATGATGGTAACTGGGGGGAGGCCCTCGCTCAGAGAAAGTATGAGGAAGGTAGAAGCCAGGATGAGGGGAGAGCTGAGGACAACGCTGCTAACACACTCACACGACATTGGGACAGGAGTACTGAAGCCGCCAGTCTTCTGAAAATGTCACTATCACCTTCGAAATGCATAAGCTTTTTTGTTCTAGTCAGGACATCAGGGCCAAGGGCAACACTCGCATATATTGCTCACCGATACATTCTTCTTAACAGAAGTGAAGCTATTTTAAGAATAGGAAAAGCTTTTCAAGACATCTGTTTTCAGGGACACACCAGAGTAACAAATACTTCTCAGGGCTGGTTTGTTCTAAAGTCTATCCCAAGAACGAGGGCAGCCAACTTTCATGAGGTACCAAGACAGGTTTCAGCAAAAATATTTTCACCTTCCTAAAGTTATATGCCGTTTTTCAAGTCCAAATATATTATAAATATCTGATCCTTTTCCGTCGGCAAAGAAGGAAACTTTTTTTTAGACGCCAACGTTGGTAATATTTGTGTAGAATAAAGGTAGAATTTTAGTTGTGTTTTTTTTTTTTATAACACCAAACACAGATGAAATCAAACCGTCTGCAACTGTCCCGAAATTCACATCTTTCAAAGGTCCTTTCCTCCATTCACATGAATTCATCTGAATCATTGCCATCCTGTAGGGAACAAAAAAGTGCAACTGTAAAAGCCTTCAACATAAACTACTCAAATTTTAAAAATATCTTAAGAAACAAGCTTCCTGATGTGTAACTGCAAAGTTCAGAAAATAAAAGTAAAAAGTAACATCATTAAGTTCACTCACCACTTCTCTACCTTAAAGTAGGAGTCGTTTAGACTAGCTGGATTTCTACGGTGTCATTATATGGCCTGAGTTACATAGCCACAAGTGACCAACAGTTTCTAAGTTATGAAGTAAAGGCCCACCCAACCCAGGATAGGACGGAACAGGTGTGACGAAAACAAAATGGGATTGCTCCAACAACAGCAAATTAGGAATCCAAACAGATCCTGCTTCATATCCTTTGCCAACGATGCTGCCAATAGGCAAACACATTTTTGGCTTAGACGCTATTATTCTGAGCCTCGAGGTTGTCACAAGATGGATTTTTTTTTTTTTTTTAATAGGAAAAATGATTAGGAAGTCATGGGCTAGGTACTAAATTAGGTGGCCTGCCAAGTTTTTGATTAAGAAACCTTATATGATGGTATACATTTGAAAGGCCCTTGTTTTATTGTGTGGCTTAAAGACATCATTGTGTGGCTTACAGACACGTCCTAAAGACCAAGGACAAGAGTAGAGCCTGACTCCTTTTTGATCTGTTGCACACCCTGAGAAAACTGCCCTGGATGCCACCATTCACTAAGTATCTAAGTTTGGGACATTTGCTTGAAAACGTCACAACCTCAATATATCACTTGCTGCAGCTTCTCCCTCCCCTGGCCTGACACCTGAGCTGTGAGAGAAGGGGAGGGCTCAGGCTTCCAGGTGTATATGCTCTACTCCCCCTTACTACCTCTTATTAAAAAAGGGCAAGGAAACAGGAAATACAGGCAGGAAACACTGGTTTCTGAGGCCCGCTCTGATCTCTGGTTTCATTCAGTAGTTCTCTCTGTGCTTCTCATCAATGAGCACAACAACCTGAGGCCATGGCAAAAAATGCCTTAAATAATTGTATGAAGAGCAAACTCATGTTGGCATTCTATGCACGAACTGGAATTGAGACTGCCTTAGTGTCCTACGCTGAAATCACAGCATTAGAGATGTTTGAAGAGTCACCATCTATCTTGGAAGGTCCATATTAGATTCCGAACACTGAGGTAGAAAAATGCTCTAAGATAATTTGGGTTGGTGACAATGAAAATGTGTCACTCCCAATAAAGGCTGTGAGTCAGATTTTCAGAGTGTCTGTCCCATGTGTCTGAGGATCTGTATTTGGGAATTACAATAACTTTTAAATATACATCTGAGATCTAAGACTTTATTTGGACAATTTAATTTTTTTTAGAGAGAATGAGAGAAATGGTGTGTACAAATGGGGCGGGGGATGGGGAGGGCAAAGGGAGATGGGGGAGAGAGAATCCCGAGCAGGCTCCAGTGCGGAGTCAAACGTGCGTTCAATCCCACCACGCTGAGGTCATGAGTTGAGCCAAAATCAGGAGTTGGACGCATGAACAACTGAATGACCCAGTTGCCCCTATTTGGCCAATTTTTATATTTAAGATTCCTTTTAAGAGTCAATATGGGGGCGCCTGGGTGGCTCAGTGGGTTAAAGCCTCTGCCTTCGGCTCAGGTCATGATCTCAGTGTCCTGGGATCAAGCCCTGCATCGGGCTCTCTGCTTGGTGGGGAGCCTGCTTCCCCCTCTCTCTCTCTGCCTGCCTCTCTGCCTACTTGTGATCTCTGTCTGTCAAATAAATAAATAAAATCTTTAAAAAAAAGAGTCAATGTTTTTCAATATAGCAAATAGATTTCCTGTCATCCACCTATAAAGTGATAAACAAATAAACTGAATTGAAAGGAACTGTTTACTGATACCAAATTTAAAAGATTAGGAAGAAATGACAGATTGACAAGGATTATACTAAATAGGAGAGCAAGAGCTCAAAATTAAAACCTTCAGAGTGGAGACTATTTTTTCCTGATAAATTTATATAAGCCACACAAAAACTCAAGTCCTATCTTATATAAACACAAAGCTTTAACTAAAGACCAACCGATCACGCGGCCAAACTGGATCACAAAAGGTCTGTATTCCCGCAAGAGGGTTACAAGGAGAATGGAAACCGCTTCTTCAGCAGTACTGGGAGAAAGATCTAAGAGTCCTTCCACTACAAGGCAGAATAAAAACACCCAGTACAAAACTTCCCTGGAAACACGAATCTGATTGAAACCTGGAGCTCAGCTCAGGGACAGGGGAGCAAACAACAGACAGACAGGAACAGCAGAGCAGTTAGAGGAGTCCTTTGTCTATAAATCCGCCTCACTAATCCTGGAGCTTTTAACATCAGCCACTACTCAGATCATGTCTGTGTATATATGTATATTTGCGTGTGCATGTGTATTAATTCCAAAATATCCAAAATTTAATAATCCACAATGATGGAAATGAAAATGCCTAAGATTAACATAATACAGGTGCCAGATTTCTGCTGGAAAGTAGTCTCTAAATCACAGAAAATTTTTAAGCAACAATAACCATGACAAAGACAATGGGCTGAGGGTATGTTAAAGACTTCTGTTTAACTGTTTAGCTGTTTTAAGGGTTCCAAGAAATCTAAGAGTAGTTTCCAGAAGGTATTAAATACATCTCATCATCATTAATACTGAAAGTCTGTGGGAAAAGAGCAATTAAGGACTATATTGATGAGAAGCAACAATGACCATTTATATTCAGAGACTAAGAAACAACTTTCACATATATGCCCTTGTTTGAATTCTAGTGCAGACGCAGGAAGTCATTAGGTCTCCCTTCCACTGCTGATGAATACTCCCTCAGAGAGGTTAAATAATTTTATTAGGCTTATCCACTTAGTAAATGACAGCTTAGGGCTCTAACCTTCAAGTTCAAGGCTGTATTTAACTACATACTACTACTCTTGAATTTTTCAGGAATAAATTACAAAGCTACAGCTCTGACTCATAAGAGAACCCCATAAATTTATTTCTTCACAGAGACAGGAATAAGAATATTGTTCTTACTCGTTTTTAGAAGGACACTGACATATGAACAAGGTATAAAATACTACTAACAAACCCAACTGGTGAACTAAATATGGGGTTTGACTCGCTGACCTTTAAGGGATCTTAAATTCTGTTAACTGTTTCTAAGCATCAAAGGAAGTAGTGTTTAATATTATTTTCTGTGATGGTGGAAATGTTCTATTTCTGTGCTGTCCAATATGGTGACCACTAGCAACACGTGGCTAGTATGACCAAGAAACTGAGTTTTTAAAGTACATTTTAATTAAGTTTATTTTTTATTTTAATTAAATTTAAATGGTAACATGTTAACTAGTGCCTACTATCCTGAACAATAAGATCTCAAGCATACATAGTTGACCCTGAACAACATGGGTTTGAACCACACAGGTCTACTTTTACACAGACCTTTTTCAATAAACACAGCTCAGGACAGTAAAAGTATTTTCTTCTCCCTATCACTTTATGGTCTTTTCTTCTGGTTTACTTTATTGTGTGACTACGGTATGTGATACATATGACATACAAAATATGTGTGTCAACTGACTATTTACGTTTATGGGTAAGGCTTCTGGTCAATAGTTAATTTCTAGGGGAGTCAAAAGTTACATGCAGATTTTCAACTGTGTAGGGGGACTGGTGTCCCTAACCCCCTTACTGCTCAAGAGTCAACTGTATTTGTAAATTATAAAATATGCAACATAGCAAATATATCCACCCAGTTTCGATTTTCTACAGCCTGGTAAGTGGTAGCTAAATTGAGCTATCTCCAGCCACTTCCAAATAAATTTTGGGAACAGAGTAGTCAGGGACAGTAAGTCCCTGACATAGTTCCAATAAAATCATTAGCTGCTGATGCTAAGAAAATTCTTTCTGTACTATAATCTGGATCTCCATTTCTCTTTATCTGAGGTCCTGAGGAACATGAAATCAACCAATGTTGTCACCTAGACTGCAGGAAAGATCTTGGGGTTAAGACTTTCCTTTTGTGGGGCGCCTGGGTGGCTCAGTGGGTTAAAGCCTCTGCCTTCGGCTCAGGTCATGGTCCCAGTGTCCTGGGATCGAGCCCCACATCGGGCTCTCTGCTCAGCGGGGAGCCTGCTTCCCCCTCTCTCTCTGGCTGCCTCTCTGCCTACTTGTGATCTCTGTCAAATAAATAAATAAAATCTTAAAAAAAAAAAAAAAGACTTTCCTTTTGTTTTTTAATTGAAGGTAAGGATTTTGTTTTCAGTTGTTAATATAGAAACAACAGTCACATTAATGTAGAATATTAATAAGGGCCCTTCCGCCTGCTACAACTAGGAAAGAGGGAAATGAGCAGGAAAGTTCCGAAACAGACCTGGACATCATAAAGAGTGCAACGATCTCTTTCCGTGAGGTGACCTACTTAAAAACACATTGCCCCGCTTGCCCTCTTGCTCCAGGGAAGAGGGGCAATGCCCAAAGAATGCACCTGAGTTGCCAAGTCATGTCAGGCCATCAGCAACATGTGACTCAATACTGGCTAGTCACCCGATTATTAAACAATTCTTTATTAAGGCACAACACTGAAACAAATAACTTGAACATACCTGATTTGAAGACATATTCTCAACTTTCATTAGTGATGAATAGCTCCTAGAAGAAAACAACACATTTAAAATAAGGTCATCCGGGGGCATGTGGGCAGCTCAGTCGATTAAGCGTCCTAATTCTTGATTTCAGCTCAGGTCATGATCTCAGGGTGGTGAGATCGAGCCCCAAGTCAGCTGGGTGTGGAGCCTGCTTACGATTCTCTCTCCCCTTCTCCCTCTGCCCCTCCCCACTTCTCTAAAAATAAAATAAAATACAATAGCGCTATCCAGTCAGTGAGTATTTCATGAACATTTACCATGTATCCCGCACTGCTGAGGGTCCTTCAGAGGAAAATATGATCCCTGACCTCAAGGAGATTGCAACAAAAAAAGGGTAGGTATCTTCGAACAGTAAATAAGATGTGCACAGCACTTTATAATTTACAGAGTGCTTGGTCATACTCATTTCATGTCACTTCCACACTAACTGTGAGGTGGGTGGCGTTAGTCAGATGAGGAAACCCGTCTATGGCCAAGAGCAGCTCAGACTCCTCGCTAGGGCAGACTGCGAGGGCTGTGGAGGCTGCAGGAACTCGGGAGGTGATGCATCCAAGTGGGCAGAGCAGGGCTGCTGAGAGGCTCTCTTCTCACGTGAGGCGGAACCCAAAGCGAGCCCAAGCCATACAGGTGAGCAGTGGAGGCAGATCCAGAGATGGCAGGAGCAAAGGCAAAGAGATGGGTTTTTATAACGACATTCCACGCCAATTCAAGTGGAGTCTGAGGACAAAGTAGGGGGAAAGTAGGCTGGATGTGTGGGGCCCAGTTATGTTGTCCAAACTGCATGAACTAACACAACGTGATCAGCAAGAAGCCACAACATGAGACGGGAGCAGAGGAGAGATGTATGAGAGTCAACAAGTATTTATTAAATATCCGTGATGTGTAAAGCCCTGTGCTAAGCCTGGTGGAGGATGGGATGGGAAGAAAACAGAACCTGATGAATAAGACAAAGCCTAGCCCCAAAGAGCTTACCAGGAGAGGAGATCTGACCTATTCAGCCATAAACATGCAATAAGTTCAGTTAAAAATACACAAAGAGACAAAGGAAAAATACAGAGACAAAAGGAAAAGGAAAGTGAGACCAGTGTTTTAAAAAGAGTAATCTGTAGCAGGCAGAAGAGAGGGAGAAGGGAAGTTAAGGCAAGGAGATGAGTTAATAATAACAACAGTATTTACAATTTACCAAGTATCCTTTGTTTGCGAGGACCTGCATTCTATGCCTCATAAATTACTGTCAATCGCCTCAACAACCTTATAAGGCAAGGGAGAGTCTCATGCCTACTGAAGACCTAGGAGGCAGAGCCGCGGACCTTAAGGAAGTCGTGCAAGGCCTCCCAGCTAACTAGGGGAGAAGCGAGCCTGAGAACCCACATCCGACTTCCGAGCTCACACTCCTGCCGTCATACTCCATTCAATCTGCTGCAATATCCCCCCAGCAAGGGCACGAATCCAGACTGTTCCAACAGCTGTCCTGATAAGAAGAGAAATCTGAGAGGAATCAATGATAACATCAAGGTTTCAAGCTTGGGTGACTTGAAGAAAATAATGCTACAGTTGAGAGAAATGGGCATATGTTGCAAAGAAGGTGTGCTTGGTGTGGGACATGTTGCACGTGAAGGGACGGAGAGACATCCAAGTAGAGAATACGCACTGTAGAAACGGAAAACTGAGAATGAGAGGGAAGAACAGTCCTGGTCAGTGACGACCACCTGGGAGACCTCTGGAGAGAGTGATCAGGTGAAGCTTGTTGGAGGAAGTAGTATCTCTAGGAAACACACAGGCAATACCGAGAAGCTGCATGAGCAGAAAGAGAGAGGCCCGCTGAGCATGAAGTGGGTAGAGCAGGGAATCTCAATCCTGGCTACATTTCAAAATCACCCAATGAAGATGGGCATCCACGAGCTGCGTTCAAGAACCACTGGGTCCGAAAGCCCACTTCGATGAAAGCGACACACAGATTTACCCTTCATAAGGCCACACCTGTCCTCTGAGCTCCACCCCATTCATCCATCTGCTTATCTGACATTTTTTTGGATACCTCAAGGTATTTTCAGATTCGTAGGTTCCTTGGCAGCTCATGGTCCAAAACCAGTTTGGTTCTTTCCCAGTATCCCCCGGCCCAGAGAACGGCACCGCCATCCATTCCAGCTCACACCCCAGAAACCAAGGACTCACTCTTTTCCCCTGCCCATCCTCTCCAGCCAATCTAGCTTCAAATCTTATAATTTTATCTACAAAATTACTTCTCCCCAGTCCCTTTCTCCGTATTTTCACAACACCCCTGTATTCCAAGCTACCATCATCTGTCGTGTGGCAATATGCCATAGTTTCCTAACCAGCCTAGTCACCCCCACCTGGATCCCCTTCCCTTCATGTCAGTAAAATGAGTTTTCCAAAACACAAACCTTATCATACAACCCCCTGCTTAAAAGTCTTGATAACCTCACGAACGTCTGATGAGGAATGAAGACAAACATGACCAACAGGCCCTGTGTGCATGGGCACTTCGATCCAGGCATTCGCTCACTCCTGCGCTCCACACATTTGGGCCCGCCTTTCTGGCCCTGTGTTTTGCCTTGCTCCCTCCCATACAGTCTTTGCACACCTAGTTCCCTCTGCTTAGAGCCCTCTTGCCACCCAATCCCCTTTTAATCAGCAAACATAGTTCTGATCTTAGCTCAAGGATCACTGTATCAGAGAAGTCAAATTCAGTTATTTATAAATCCATAATATATTAACCAACCACTCACTGCATATGCAAAGCACCAGGTCACACATAAGAGATACAAAGATGCATATCAGTGCCTCTTTGAAGGAGCTTATCATTAAAATGGAGAGCTATGGCACACAGAACATTATAGAAAGCAGTAGTGCTCATATGTGAGAAAGAAACAAAAGAAGGTACAATTAAAGCAGTCAATTCTACACTGGACTATATCATCTTTTAAATTAATGGTCTTGCTGTTGCCTCTTCTACATGTTGCCACTAAACTCATCCTACAGGTCTACTACTTCCTAATATCCTAGGACACCTATAATGGCTCCTTATCACTTACAACCTGAAATTCTGTACCATGCAAAACCTTTTAAAATCACTCTCTGATGTGCCTATTTTTTAAATTCTTTTATTTGCCTATATGACTTTGACTCTGGCCTAGCCAACCTGCTCCTTTCTTGCCTTACAGGCAGCACAGTGTGGACCTCAGGACTCTAGGCTTGAGTTAGAATTCCTGCTTTGCTACTTAATAGCTATAACCTTCCAAACATTGACCACCTTGCTAAAGTCATCTTTGTCCCCAAATCAAGTGCAGGTTACTGTTCAAACTGATGATCCATTCACCTGTGACTAACCATTTCACCCGGGTCTTGTACTTGTCTGACTTTGAGTACCCGAGCCTTGGATTCAAATTCGACCTCCCAGACTCCCAGTTTTTAAACTGGGACTGTAGCCACAGTCCCTACCTTTTTCTTTTCTGATCTGTTACTCAACTTATCCTCTATTAACTACCCTTCTCTATTATTTCCTCTGGTTTCAACAATCACATGGTAGAGCTTGACTTTGACATTGATGTTTTAACACCACAAAGCCCAAATAAGTGAATATAAGGCTGAAAGAGACCGGCGAGCTTTCATTTGCAGGCAACCATGCATTCCACTGCACAGATGAAACAACACTACTAGGACACACCGAAGGAAGCCAGCGATGCTCTTCCCCAGCACCTGCCAATAGATGATGGTATCTACTGGGAGACTCACAGGTAATCTGCCGAAAGATTTCTCCAAATGCCTGCTCTCTCAAACCAAATGTAGACTGAGTAGAAGCCAGTCTGCTTCTCTCACTCTCAAGGTCTCGTCTAAGACACTGACTACTCTGAAAGCCTGTGCTGAGTCTCTGCTGTCATCTCAGCTTGCTCAATGTATGGCTTATGGTGTAGTGGTCACGGAAAGGAAGGAACCTGTGAGAAGGCTTCTTCCTTACACCATACCCTACACAAAGATTCTCTAACCCCAAGCCCCATAAGCTTCTAGGCTCACGAGGCATGAGTCCAAGGAGCTAACGAGTAAGATGGGTAAGTGAGAATATGCAAAGTCTAAGGAAGGGGAAATTTTTCAAATGGTTTGGATGAAGAAAATAAATGGTGAGCAGAGGGTGTTAATATAGTGCCCTCCCAACAACCCAAATATTGCTAAAACCCATCTAAGAGGATGATCTTTATATAGACCTATTTACATTATCAGACCGTTCCAGGTTCTGCATGCTCAGTATAAAGAGTATAGGCTCATCGGCAAGAACAAGATGGAGTTCTGTCTCCAGGGGCTACCACTCTTCACTGTGGAGCAGGAAGTCGTGCCTTCCACAGGGTGGGCTGGGCTTTGTTCACTGCTGAGCTGAGGGCTGGACAGGATCCAGACTAGAGCTCAGAGAACTTGGAGCTGTATAATGGCAATTCCATCCTTTGCTTCTCCTGGTAGACATTGGAAAGGAGAAGCTTATTGCCATTCTTGTTCAACAAGTTGAGAAGAGAAAGGGACAAGAATCTAAATGGCTTTAGACTTGGAGGGAAGTGGGCTATCTCCGGATATGAGGCTGTTGAGTATTTCTTTGCTGCAATCATCTGGAAGCACTGGGGAGAACTTCCGGGAGAAGAATATCCCTTGGTTTCTCTGCAGAATCCCCTGCAGACTCTCAGTTTCTTAGGCAATCGCACCAACTGAAGTGGACATTCCCTACCAAAAGGTCCAAATAAAAGAACCATCTGCCAGTGAAAGCTCATGAAATTTTCATTGTCAGACAGCCAAGGGAAGGATGGAAGGGGAATGTCAGACAGCCAAGGGAAAGACTTGAGGATGAGATGATTCTGTAGGCCCACCACTAGAGCTCCTGGGTGGAAGAGTCAAAGGTAGAAACACAGGTCATGGATAAAGCACTATAATGTATAAAAACAGATTCTAAAGCAGGTCAGAAGCTTAGAGCTTATGGCTGGAATTTCACAAAAGCTGCAGGGCACAGCATGCAAACAGGCAGGGGCTTGGTGGGTTGCTGTGTTGGTTCCCTGCACAGCAGCCCTGCCTCACATCCTCCCAGCCTCGGCAGTTTGGAAAAGTAAGTCACTGTGGTAGCACAGGTTTCACGGGAACAAATATATCAGTCGTTTTTCGTCTTCTCAGAGCCACAATCATTCATTAAAAAAGAAAGCATCAGGGACAAAACTGTGTAGAAAAACATGGACTAGAAAAGTGATTTCCCCATTTCGTTCACTTACACTTTCCTTTTGATAAATACGGGCCAGAGCAATATATGATAAAAATCTGTGTCTGAGAAAACAAATGGAAAAATTACAGGTGACAAGGGATAGCTTAGAATATGGGACTGGTTAGATAAATTTGCTTTTGAGGCAAAAATTTCATTCAACAACGAGAATTTTTTTCCCCTCAACTTATGTATTTTATGGGTTGTTGATACTATAAAAGAAAATCTGGGAGATATGAACATTGTGTTTTAAACTAATAAAATCAAACATACAAAATCCCCTAAATTTTACTAGTACACAGCTTGATTTGAAACAAAAATGATATACATTTCAAGATAAATTCCCATATCTAGAAATTTCTTGATTCATATGCAATAAATTTTACTTTAAAGCTGAATAGACTGATCAGAGGCAGAAGAGAGTAGTAATAGCATGTTATGAGCTTGAGAATCAGAAAAACTAGCTATGTAACTTTGGGCAAGTTACTTAACTGCTTGTCAGACTCAATTTCCTCTTCTAGAAAATGCAATTAATAACAACATTTGCCTCATATCCGTTATTGTTAGGGTTCAATGAGATAATGGAGCTAAACATAGTACAGCGTTTGGCAGATGACAAGGGTCCCAAAATGCTAGCCATTCTTTCTCAAGTTTTCAGGTAAATTAAGTGATATTATATTCCTAACCTATTATGTTTCTAAACAAAATTGTTAGATTTAGAAAGGGTACCAGCAGGTGTGTTTTCAATCTTTTCCCCCCCTTCACATGAAAAACAAAAATGAATAAGCTGCTCTCAATCCCACATTGCTCAAAATCCCACACATTTTACTGCGCTGATCGAGCTGATAATTTTTCTTTCATTCACGACACAAAGCAGACTCCCAATCTAGGTCAAACCCAATCTGTGCATTTGTTTGTCTCATGTCAGCAGATTATAACTCAGGATAACACTTCTGGAGTTCTCCATTTGAGTATTATGTTTTCATTGAAGCCACTTATCCCACTTTAGCAGAACCCCCAAAAGGGGCACATGTAGGCAGATAACTAAGAAATACCAGTACTTGATCATTATACCTACTCCAGGACCCAACACTCTTTCTAATCATCCAGCGTATTGCAAGGAAACCGAGTCAGGACATGGCAAGACAGCTCATTTTGATCCTATACCTTTCGCAGAGGCACATCAGTATCCTTTCTTCCCCCCTTTCTTTTCGGTATACTTAACACAAATGGTATCTATGGAGAACTGTGGGAAAATCTAGAAATCCTGTGAGTAGAAGTTGTAGGATTAAATTCCCTCTTTGACAAAGAAAACCCAGTAGTCTCTTTAAGTATAAACTATACATCAATTATAGATTCAGAGTGGTGGGCAGAATAATGATCCCACCTGTAGATGTCCACATCCCAATCCCCAGGACCTGCAAATATGTCACCTGGCATATTATCTGGCAAAAGGGGCTAGGCAGATGAGGTTGGGTTAAGGATCCTGGATGCAGAGGCAATGGATTGTCTGGGTGGCCCCCATGTCATCACACTGGTCCTCAACAGTAGAGAAGGCTGTGCTCAGAGATGGGGCTACGACTGTGGGGGTGTGTTTCAGAGATGCCATGTGGCCGGCTTTGAAGATGGAGGAAGGGGCCACAAGCCACAGAATGTGGGTGGCCTCTAAGAGCTGGAAAAGGAAAAAGAGTCTTCCCTAGAGCTCCAGAAAGGAACACAGCCCTGTTGAACCTTGGTATTAGCCCACTGAGAACCATGTTGGATTTCGAACATATGAATGGATAGAACTGTAAGATAAGAAATCTCTGTTATTGGGGCACCTGGGTGGCTCAGTGGGTTAAGCCGCTGCCTTCGGCTCAGGTCATGATCCCAGGTCCTGGGTTCAAGCCCCATGTCGGGCTTTCTGCTCAGCAGGGAGCCTGCTTCCTCCTCTCTCTCTGCCTGCCTCTCTGCCTACTTGTGATTTCTCTCTGTCAAATAAATAAATAAAATCTTAAAAAAAAAAAAAGAAGAAAGAAATCTCTGTTATTTGAAACCACTGAATTTGTGATAATTTGTTACAGTAGCCACAGAAAACTAATACAGTCAGTATTCTCATACACTAGAATTTTAGGACCCAAGCTATATTTTAACTACTCCTTATCATTTTATTTACTCATTTTTATTTGTTTATTTTTTAAAGATTTTATGCCTAATTTTTTTTTAAAGATTTTATTTATTTATTTGTTAGAGAGAGAGAGAGAGCATGAGCACAGGCAGACAGAGTGGTAGGCAGAGGCAGAGGGAGAAGCAGGCTCCCCGCCGAGCAAGGAGCCCGATGTGGGACTCAATCCCAGGACGCTGGGATCATGACCTGAGCCGAAGGCAGCCGCTTAACCAACTGAGCCACCCAGGCATCCCTATGCCTTATTTTATTAGGTAGGCTCTACACCCAACATGGGGATTGAACTCAACCCCAAGATCAAGAGTCACATGCTCTACTTACTGAGCCAGCCAGGCACCCCGTACTATTTATCATTGTAAAATGTAGTGCTTTGGAGTAGGCCTCATTACATTAATCACTTCCAACTTTCAGAATGTTTTTCTTTCTTAAAAAAAGAAAGCTGAAGGCAGTGGCTTAACCCACTGAGCCACCCAGGCGTCCCAAAAAACAGATTTGAAGAATTACTAGCATTGGAGCACCTGGGTGGCTCCATGGGGTAAGTGTTTGCCTTCGGCTCAGGTCATGATCCCAGGGTCCTGGGATGGAGCCACATCTCAGGTTCCCTGCTCAGCTGGGGGCCTGTTTCTCCCTCTCCCCTCTGGCTCTCAACACCCTCACCCTACCACCCTTGCTTGTGCTCTCTCAAATAAACAAATAAAATCTTGAAAAAAAAAAAAAAAATTACTATCATTGGTCTTCAGACCTAAGACCATCTTACTCAACTACCACAGTGAGTCAATGTTAAACCCTTAACATAGCATCTTTTCTTTTCCTGAAGATGTTTACAAACCAAACTCTAAAGATAACCTATGACAGTTTAAGAATAAAATTAGCTCTTTTTATTTCACACACACTCATATCCTACCCCTATAAAAGGGAGCCATTTGACTACTGCATCAGCATAACTGCCCTTTCCTAGGCTGTTTCAGGCCCTGAGTCTGTCATCTGTCCTGCCCTCCACTGGTCTAACCTTCCTATGGGCTGGTCCCTGATGAAAATCAGCGGCGATGAATCTCCTCGTTTAACACCAATACTGCAGCTCCAACATACCTAAGTTCGTCCATTTCCCGCTTCTTCTTCATCTCTTCCTTCTCTCTCCTTTTCATTTCCTGAATTTGGGCTTTTTTCTCATTCCTCTCTTCTCGGTCTCTGCATTCCTTCTCTGCCGCGAGGTCTGGGAACCGCTCCATTTTGGTCTTTTCTAATCTGTTCAGGATTTCATTCACTTTCTTCTCCACAGTCACAATTTTCACCTTTGAGGGAGATTTGGGGGGGGGGGACAAAACGGAATCTTTATTGTAGGATCCCCCCGCAGAACAGAGGCGATGTTTTCAAGGAGCCGAGCAACCCAGCTGAAAGGGATCCAGAAGGCAGACATCATGCGGAGCCTTCAACCAAGGCAGGAGCCGGCAAAGCCCGGGCTCCACTCCGCCCCCCTCTGGCGGTGTGCAACACTTACATCCTTTTGCCTGTGAAAGCCTATCTGTCCCACGTCCATGTCAGCGGTTTTCTTCAGGTTAGACCATGGTGTATATACCACATTCACGTTGTTCATCTTGCAGCCTGCCAAGAGAGACTGTCTTCAACATGCAGGCCAGAGGATACTGAGCAATGCGCTCCCTCACCCACTGGCCAATTACCAAAGTCCAACAAAGGGAAAGGCAGCGCGAACGGCCATGGAGGGATTCAAACCACCAAATACTTTTTTCTTGAACGCGCCCATAATAGGCAAATGATAAAGGTGACCAACACGACTCAAGCAGAACTATTATGAAGGAAAGCAGGGGTCTGTGGCTCAGCTTCAGGGACTTCCGAGACTCCCAAATACTGATTGCGAAATCTAGGATACGCATTTTTTAAAAAGAGAAATGGACTAAACAGCTTTCCCTCAGATTCCCAATGGAGTCCTTGATTCAGCAAAGGCTGAACATTGAGATAAAGCAAAAAACCACGGTCTGAGATTCAAGAGACTGGCATGTGCCCCGGCAACAACACAAACTGTCTGTGTCCCCTAGAGAGCATGCCCATGGCTCCCGGAATCTCAGCTGAAACAGGAGGCGACTGGACTAGCAGAGTTGTTTGTTTGTTTCTCTTCACAGTGGCCCCCCTCTTTTACCAAAGAAAATGTATCAAAGGAATAAAAGCAGAGATGCTCTGGATGAAAGGGGTGCCGGGTACCCCATACCCCACTCATTCCTCCTACCACCTCCACCTCACATTTCCCCTCTGCCCGGGACTGCTTCTCAGGCATCTCGAAGAACCTCAGTTTAGTCACTGGTCTGGCACTCTTTAAGGCCCTCTTCAGTACATTACAGAGTTTATTAAATCACCATATACAATGGAGAAAACTGGTGCCCAACTGCTTAAGTGATCAAAATTAACCTCATCAAAAATGGAGCAAAATAGTACCATGTGCCTCCCAACTGTAACACACAAGATTTCACTTAAGTGATATTCCTGACTCAAGTGCAAGTATCAGACCAACACATATTACAGGATATCCTACAAGTGGTTTCCATTCAAAGGGTCAACATCTTGAAAGATAAAGAAGTGTCTTTAGAAGCAGGAAAAAATATACAGTGGAAAAAGACCATCTCTTCAATAAATGGTGCTGGGAAAATTGGACAGCTATGTATAGAAGAATGAAACTCGACCATTCTCTTACACCATACACAAAGATAAACTCGAAATGGATAAAAGACCTCAACGTGAGGCTGGAATCTATCAAAATCCTAGAGGAGAACATAGGCAGTAACCTCTTCGACAATGGCCACAGCAACTTCTTCCAAGATATGTCTCCAAAGACAAAGGAAACAAAAGCGAAAATGAACTTTTGGGACTTCATCAAGATCAAAGCTTCTGCACAACAAAGAAAACAGTCAACTAAACAAAGAGGCAACCCACAGAATAGGAGAAGATATTCGCAAATGACAATAAAGACAAAGGGCTGATATCCAAGATCTACAAAGAACTCCTCAAACTCAACACACTCAAAACAGATAATCACATCAAAAAATGGGCAGAAGACATGAACAGACATTTCTCCAAAGAAGACATACAAATGGCTAACAGACACATGTAAGAATGTTTATCATCATTAGCCATCAGGGAGATTCAAATCAAAACCACACTAAGATACCACCTTACACCAGTTAGAAAGGCCAAAATCAACAAGACAGTAAACAAGTGTTGGAGAGGATGTGGAGAAAGGGGAACCCTCTTACACTTTTGGTGGGAATGCAAGTTGGTACGTGTAGCCACTTTGGAAAACAATGTGGAGATTCCTTAAGAAATTAAAAATAGAGCTTCCCTATGACCCTGCATTGCACTACTGGCTATTTACTCCAAAGATACAGATGTAGTGAAAAGAAGGGCCACCTGTACCCCAAAGTTCATAGCAGCAATGGCCACAGTCGCCAAACTGTGGAAAGAGCCAAGATGCCCTTCAATAGACAAATGGATAAAGAAGATATGGTCCACATATACAATGGAGTATTATGCCTCCATCAGAAAGGATGAATACCCAACTTTTGTATCAACATGGACAGGACTGGTAGAGATTATGCTGAGTGAAGTAAGTCAAGCAGAGAGAGTCAATTATCAGATGGTTTCGCTTACCTGTGGAGCATAAGGAATAACACGGAGGACATGGGGAGATGGAGAGAAGGGAGTTGGGGGAAACTGGAGGAGGAGACAAACCATGAGAGACTGTGGACTCTAAGAAACACTGAGGGTTTTGGGGGTAAGGTTGGGGAGTTGGGTGAGCCTGGTGGTGGGTATTATGGAACACACATATTGTATGGAGCACTGCATGTGGTGCATAAACAATGAATTCTGGAACACCGAAAAAAATTAAATTAAATTAAAAAAATAAGTGTCGGGGTGCCTGGGTGGCTCAGTGGGTTGAGCCTCTGCCTTTGGCTCAGGTCATGTTCCCAGGGTCCTGGGATTGAGCCCCATGTTGGGCTCTCTGCTTAGCGGAGAGCCTGCTTCCCTCTCTCTCTCTCTCTCTCTGTCTGCCTCTCTGCCTACTTGTGATCTCTGTCTGTCAAATAAATAAATAAAATCTTTAAAAAAGAAAAGTTCTTTAAAAAAAAAAATTAGCGTCTTCAGGTTAAAAGAGACTAGAGATATGATGAATAACTATAACATATGATCTTGGGTCAGGAAAAAAAATGCTATAAAGGGATAGTAGTGGGACAACTGGGAAAACAACTGGGACTGTATATCAAATGATAGTATTCTATCCACATGAAATTTCCTGAATAAGGTTACAGTAATACAGTTACTTAAGACAATGTTCCTGTTCTTAGGGCATACTAAAGAGTTATGAGGTCTAGAATTTTTCCATCGAATGATTCAGCTAAAAAAACAAATAATTAGAACATTATAGAGAGAAAGCAAATACATATGGAAAAATTATTGAATCTAAGTGAAGGGCATATAGGAGTTGTATTTTTTTGGCAACGTTTCTGTAGCTTTGGAACTTTTTTTTCAAAATGAAGATTTAAAAAGATCTCCATGTGCATGGTGCTATGGGAGATCTAAACATGGATCAGACAATGGGTCTTGCCTTCCAAGACTAAAGGAAGGCAGGTAAGTATGTAAATCACTACTATGAAAAACAGAACTCACCACGGCGCCTGGGTGGCTCAGTCGGTTAAGTGTCTCCCTTTGGCTCAGTTCATGATCTCAGGGTCCTGGGATTGAGCCCCGTGTCAGACTTCCTGACTTCCTGCTTAGCAAGAAGTCTGCTTCTCTCCCTCTGCCTTCCCTGCAACAGACACCCCCTCCCCTGGTCCCCACTCTCTCTCTCTCTCTCTAAAATAAAGCAATCTAATCTCAAAAAAAAAAAAAAAAAAAAAGGGAAAGATAAGAAAAACAGAACTCATCAAATGCTACTTGAAAGGTAGAGGTAAAGTGCTCCAAGAGGGCAGTGATCACCCACGCTGGAAGAAGGCAAAGGCTCCACTGGATCAGTTAATACAGTTTAGTGGTTTAGACAGAAGACTTTTAGGTCAGACTGACTTCAAATGCACCTGCTGCCACACTTCAGAGCTCTGAGGACTTGGGCAGGTTCCTTAACTCCCTTAAGCTCAGCACCCTCATCTCTAGAATGAAAATAATAATGCATATCTCAGTAGAGTTGATAAATGAAATAATCTGTGAAGTTTTTAGCACAGTGCCAGGCATGTAATTAACGCTCAAGGTTAGCTATTAGTACCATTACTACAACCACTGGGTGGACCTTGAACCTTAGCTTGCATCTAGACATGAGATGACTGACAAGGCAGATAAAACTGAGGAAAGAGAAGACAACATAAGCAGAGGTGTAAGGGAAGAAAACAGCCAAGACATGCTTTGGCTGGAGGGTGAAATATGTGAAGGGAAAAAAAGCCTGTAGTCAGAGCATAGATGCTTAACTTCCAGCTTAAGAAGTCTGGACTTAACTGTGTAATTAAGGGGAGGCATGTCATAGAAAGTATCTAAGCTTTTAGAAAGTTTAATCTGGCAAAGGAGTCTACGAATAAACTGCCCAGATTCCATGATGACAAACAAGTTTAACTCAATTTCTTGGTCCCGAGAGCCAGAGGTGGTCAAGCAGGGGGTTGGGGGGTAGATATTTTAACCACACAGCGATGAAAATGGAGCAGCTCAGCATCCTCTGCTGTCAATTCCTGGGTGAGGTTCCTGGGCTCAGCTACTTGTTCTGCTAAGAGAGCTTTCACCGGGGAAAGCTGAAATGGAAAGCAGCGGAAGGAAGTGTCAGAACTCTTCTGTCTTTTCTGTCTTCTCTAAAACTAGTAAACTACAAAAAGAATAAGAAGAAAGAGGCCACGCCCAGAATAAAGAGTCCAAAGATCCCTTAATAAAGTCACATCTCCTCACCAGGGGCATGGAAAGGGGACAAGATCACGTGAAAGAGGTTGCAACACACAGGAGGATAATGATTGTTTTAATTTTATTATTTTTACTTTAATAACTGAAGCTCGTGACTGGAAATCTTAAGAACTCTGTTCTGCTCATAAAAATGGAATGTCCTAAGACTAACTGCAATTTAATGATTTATGGAGTTGAAAATCACTGGCTCTACAAGACCAGACTTCTACTTTCTTTGGCTCAGTATCTGACTCTGTAAAGCTGCCCAACTTAGATTTAGGAAACCCTGTCTAAGTGATGAGGAAAGGGTACACTGGCCAGCTCTTATCCTATAATCTCCAGCCCTGGTACCTGCTCTCAGTTATGTGTCCGCCCTCTATCCAAACCATATTACTTTCCAACCCTCTAGATCATCTCATAACCTCACATCTCACCAAACTTACCTCCACTCTATCTAACTCTATGTCCTACACCCCAAAATCCAACCTACTAGCTCAACCATTCTTAGCAGACTATCATCTCCTGGCTTCCTTTTTAAGTCCCACTTCCTCCCCCAAAATTATCCTTCTTGACCTGTACCGACTACTGACTGATTAAATCTACTATTGACAGAACTAAACAAGCACCAAACCCAGAATTGCAGGCCTCCCCTAAAACAGGCCAATTGTTCTCAACCCTCTGTGCACATTACAATCTCCTGGAAAACAATGGAAAAATATGGATACTTATGGATCACCCCAGACCACCTAAATGAGATTCTCTAGGAGATAAAAAGATCAACAGACTTGATATCTTCACAATATACAGGGAGAAGAAGGAATGAAAAAAGAGAAGGAAAGAGTAGGAAACAGGGATATAGAGGTTTGAGTTCTAGAATTTAAGTACAAATGATGAAAAGAAAGACATCACACAGCATTAAAAAATAAAGCCTTGAGACAATCTCTTGCTTAGCTATTAACCTAACCTCATTTCCAGAAGCTTTCTTTCTTTCCTTTTTTTTTTTTTAAGGATTTATTTATTTGTGTGTAAGAGAAAGAGCGAGTCACTAGTGTTAGGGCAAGGGCAGATGGAGAGACTATCCAAGCAGACTCCCACTGAATATGGAGTCCCACAAGGGACTTGATTTCACGAGCCATGAGATCAAGACCTGGGCCGAAACCAAGAATCAGATGCTTAACTGATTAAGCCACCCAGGCATCCCCAAAAGTCTTTCTACGAACAACACCAAGGATAGGCACGTCTAGACAAGCTTCCAGTCAAGGTAGTGAGAACACGGTAGAAAGAACTGAGAAAGGACTGGGAATATGAGAGTGGTGGAGAGATTAGTTTTCAAGTCTTGGACAGGTAGCAGAACTGCCACCTTAAAGAACAAAACAGGGGAAAGGTATATTACAGATTATTCGTTTGACTCATGCGAAGTCACTGACATGTTTTCTAAAATATATTCAATTTCAGACATAGACATTGGCATTAATTCTGAAAACACCTCTAGGAAAACTGACCTTGAATGCTATTGGCCTTCACAAGATGGGCACAGTCCATCAGGACTTCCTTTGGAATGTCTTCTATCTTCTCCCCCTGGAACATAAAAATAAACCAGATGGTTCACTACCTTGTGACTGATCAATACCAGAGCACTTAGAGGGCTTTAGTGCCTTACTAGGCACAATTAAAAGCAGAAGGTCTTCACTGTATCTCTGAACACTGAAAAGTGAAGTCTATATTATGGGAATGTTTGAGAGAAGGCAGTACAAGTAATATGGAAAATAATAATACTTAATAAGTGGGGGGAAAGGGTATAAAAGAAAACCACCAAAATACTAGCTGGAATTATGTCCCAGGTACTTTCTCCTCTCTCGTTACTTTCTTCTCTTCATTCTTACTTCTGGAAATATTGTAGGGAAATGGTGCCTATTTTTGATAATTAGAAGTCTTCTTGGCTGAGATCCCTACGACCTTCCTCTCACAGAGATATCTTATGGTCTTGGGTCTCAAATGTCATTTGAGGCAGGTCATCCACCAGCCTTAATTAGGAACCCAGCTCTTTGTGTGTTCGATAGAGCCACCCACCCTAACGGAAAAATAATATTGACTCATTTTTCTGTACAAATACTGTAACAAAGTCCAAGCTGAATAAGCAAAGTCATTCCAAAAGAACAAAAATATTTCAAAGGCAGAGCAAGCGGGAATCACCTCAGTGCTGGCTACAACTAGGCATGGGACTAAAGCACCACTTCTGTATGGGAATGAAATGTTCTACCCACCGAAATAACTTGAGATAAAGTTTATTCCAAGATGTTTCTGAATTTTGTTTTGTTTTGTTTTAAAGTGGGGATCACTCAAATAAATGAATTTTAACCAAAAAAATACATGATTTAAGTTTGCCACTACTTCAATGACATACCTCATGCTAAGCAATTCCCTGACCACTTAAAGAAAGGATTCTGAATTTAACATATTAATAATACAATGTCATTACTAAGACCACCAACCATTACACTAGGCCATTAAATGGTGATAGTGATGCCTTCAGAAGCTTCTAAAATGCACAGAAGGACATTCTGTTCTAAATAAATTCAAATGAGTAAGTAAAAAAAGAGCTACCACTTTTTAAGTAGCCACCATGTGCCAGGCACTAAGTAAACAGTCATATGAAATAGACAGCATTCACTTTAGCAATGATGAAAATGAACTTTAGCAAGGTTAAGTAACTGGGCCAGGGTCCCCCAAATCTAGTAAGTGACAGAGCTGAGAGACAGGCTCTCTTGGCTGAGACAGAGCTGAGACAGAGCTGAGACAGGCCTAAGCGTTGTAGCAACTGACCCCAGGGTACAGTGCTTTCAGAATTCTTGTGGAAACATAGGTTCTTGATCCTTGATGTTAGGCTACATCCTGATATCCCTTCTTATTATCTGTGTCTGTCACTATGGCTGAAGCGATCTCATCTTTCTGTTGGCTACTTCTAATATAATATGAGCGGACTTAAAACAATCTTTCAGCTTAGCATTATGCATAAAGTCAGAGTGAACTGACTGGAGAAGTCTGAGGTGCTCTCAATATGTAAATGTCAGAACTGTGACTGTGGGCTTTGTGCCATCTCTGACAACGAGATAAGAGACCTCTAGATAGGTGAGGGTTTTCTACAGGTTTCTGAAAGTCAAAGAAGCCGAGGAAAAAACACTGCTGAAAATCCATGATCTTCAAGGTCTGGGTTGAATTGAACTGAATTCAACAACCAAAAAGTTAACACATACGATGCTTAGCATGTGCTAGGCGTTATTCTAACTGCTTCAGTCATTATTCTAACTGCTCAGCTAATCCTCACAATGGCCCAGGAGGACAGGCACTGTTAGCTCCTTTTACAGATGAGAAAACGGGCATAACAAGGTGATCTCCTCAAAGTCACACAGCTAGAGAACCACGGCTCACCTCCAGCAATCTGGGTCCCCAACCACTTGGTCTGACTCCAGCTCCAACACTCACTTAGGACCTACTAAGTACAAAAGGCTATGCCATTTACTGCAGATTGACCAGGTAAACTTCCCTAAAGAGTATGTATTTTTATAGAACACATGACGTGCTTCCAAAAGAAAATGAAATTAAACTTCTTCTCAAACAAGGAGTAACTGGTGGTAAATGAACTTGGGGCTACCACTATTACTTCTATCTCCCGACAAAGCAGAGTCTAAAGGAAAAAAAAAATTAATCCAAACCAAAGGGAAACTTGGTAACACCATACTCTTACTCTAAAGTTAAAATAGTTCCAAAATGGCAAGAAGTTGCCAAGGAGAATCCAGACTTTTGTTCCATCACAGAGTTCAATCTTCCTCTTTTTCCTTTACAACACAGTTCTCAAAAACAAACAGTATAAATAAATATGTGGCACACTGTTTAACCTTGCTAATAAATTAAGAAGTAAATATTATTATAATCATAATGAAATAGCATCTTAAATTTATTAAAAAATTGTCAAAAGATTGCTATTGTTTTTAAGCTATAAAATCCCAGGAAAGATTTGGAAAACCTGTATTTATCAGGTAGCATTTTAAACTAGTGCAATTATTTTTAGAGGGCAGTATCTTTTGGCTCAGTGATTCCATTTCTGAGAATCACTATAAAAAACTTAATTCAAAAGAAAAACAGAAAATGGTTCATTAAAAAAAAAATTTCTTGTTGGTAATTCATAACACCGAAAACCATAAAGAACTCATGTTCTGACAAGAGAGGTTCCGTATTAATTGTGGCACAACATCTATCAACTCAAAGCATCCAGTCAAAACAATAAATATGAAATACAGTAAGATGAAAAAGCTTATCAAACTGTCATTTTAAAGAGTAATATAATTAACTAGAGGAACTAACAATTGTTGCATAATACAACAGGATGGAATATAAACTGAGACAAAAAAAAATCTGAGTGCGTGGCATGACATCACTGAAAGGCATCGGGTAAAAAACGGAGCAGCTTACAAATAACTTTGGAAAACAGTATTTTGACTGGAAACTGTAAGGCAAAAAGATAAAAATAATTGCATATAAACACTCTACTTTAGTTGATAAAGTTGTTTTGCATGGGGAGGTATCTGAACAGATCTGAAACCACTTATACAAATAATGGAGTTGAGTAAGCAAATAGATGGTGGATCGTGGGAACCAGGCTTCTTGCTCTGGGAAGGAAGTAACAGAGAAGCAAGGAGAAAAGGCTAGAATGGCCTCTGTAATAACAGATTAGTCAGAGACATCAGTATGAGCTCATGTTTAGCTTAAAATAGATAAAAATGGAGACACAGAAACAAAGGTTTGTAGGAATTACTAACATGTGTTAGTATACACACATGTAGTTCCTAGCTCTGTAGCTGACATATACATACATGTAGTTCCCAGACCTCGGAGAGGGCCCAGAAGCAATGACACTCCTGGAGCAGTGAGCACACCACGTCCAGACTTGGCTTCTAAGTACCATTCCCCAATAGAAGGAATCAGCATTCCTTGGAGAAAGGGCTGATTCTAGGACTGTGCAGGGAAAATATAAGAGAAGTCCACAGAATCTTAGCGAGCCAGAAAGTAAGGAAGTGCTCAAAAACAAAAGGATGGGAGCATATCAAAGGAACACAGAAGCCAGGCTGAAAGAGCTCCAACCGAAGCTGGGACAATTTCAGCAACCAAATAACACAGAACTGGTTTATAACCCAGAGTATAAAATAAACATATGAGTCCACAGTGATACAAATAAATTACTGTATTAAATATACAGGGGAGAAGAGGTAAATCTTCCTTATATATGTAAATACTCCGCCCACTGCAAGAAGTAGAGCTTAATTCCATCCCTACCCCCTTGAGTGTGGGCTGGACTTGATGACTTGTTTCCAAATAACAGAGTATGAAAGGGGGGGGAGAAAAATAACACTCCAGTGGGCAAACCTCACAAACACTGGCCTGGCCAGGAGATGAAGGTTAGCCACGTCAGTGCTAAGTTCTATCAATGCATGTACCCTTGACATGATGTGATGAGGAGGGTGCTCCACCTTTGTGCTATTTCTTCCTCCAAAACCCAGAACTCCAGTCATGAGGAAAACATCAGATAAACTCAAACTGAGTGATATTCTGTCAAGAACCTGGCCAGTGCTTCTTAAATTGTCACGGTCATGAGAAATACGGAGAGTCTCACATTTGCAGTGTGAAACTGCCACGTATGAGAGCCTAGGCAGATGTGACCATTAAACACAGTGTGGGACACTGGGCTGCTTCCTGGGACAGAAGGAGGACATTAATGGAAAAACTGTGAAATCAAAACAGAGTCCAGAGTTTAGTTAATGGTAATGTACCAATGTTGGTTTCTTGGTTCTAACCAATCTGCCATAGTCATGTAAGATAATCACAATAGGGGAATAAAGGCATGGGGTCTAGGGGAACTCTGTGCTATCTCTGCAACTTCTCTCTAAATCTAAAATCATTCCAAAGTAAGACATTAAAAAAAAAAAGTAATACACACAGCAAGTATATATGCCCTATGATTCAACTGTATAAAATGTAATATATGAATGTAAAGATATTAGAAAACTAGCGCTTTTATGTTACTAGGAGACACTGCATTTTTTTTCCCTTTACTATTCTAATGCTGTTTTAAATGTCTCAAAGAAACCCCTAATAACTGGGAACATCAGTCCTCAGTGAGGCAGGAGAATCCCATGAGTGTGAGAAAAAGGAACCACATATGATCTCCACAGGAAAAGACAGAGGTCCAGAACTGTCAACTGAAATGAAAGGGAGAGGAAGCAGAGGTGACAAACCACACAGCTGAACTGGCAGGATAATTATGCCAGTCAGGGCAGTGGTTCTAGCTGGGGTATATGGACAATGCCCCCTTCCAAGTATCCAAAAATCACCAGACTTTCCCTTAAGTGATGTTCCAGGTCAGGGGTAACACATCTCTTCATTTGCTCATTTTTCAACTGTTATACATATTTATTACTTTAAGCAATTTAAACTGCAAAAAAAAAAAAAAAAGGACAGAGGACAAGATAGGATGTTCATCCCCAGAGAAAAAGTCATGAGTCTACGTTTAAATCCAGTTACCTTATGTAATCGAAGGTATACATGAGCCGAAGAGAGTTTGTCCACATGAAACCTACAAAGAATGAAAACCACTTTTAGCAAGAGGTATAAGACAACCATCTCCTCAGGCCCCTTGCATTTAAAGCATTCCAATCCAGAAAGTATTAACTCAGTGCTTACCACATGCCAAGCACCACAGGGAGTATAAAACACAACCACCGCCTCTAAAGGCACTATCAACTGGGAGAGGTAAGATAAACATGAAAAGTTCTGCAGCTGTGTGAGACGAAGTGCCAAGATGAATACCAGAGAAATGGAAATACCCTGGAAAGGGTGATTTTTCCAGTGAGAAAGAGCTACCCATGACCAAAGGCTTCTATGAAGGACTGAGGTTTAGAGAGTCCCTGAAGGAAGCAGAGGACTTAGAGAAACACAGGGAAAGGAATTTCAGGTGAGGAGAGAAGGGAATGAAAGACGTCATCAAGACTGCCGTGTTGCAAGCCTGGGAGACTGGTAGGACCACAGGGGGGAATACTTTCTGGTTGGAGAAGACACCAGCTTGGGAAAAAAGATGAGAGGTTTGGTTTGAGACATCCTAAGTTTCAAGGCATGGCAAAACAATCCAAAGAGAGGCACAGAGTAGAGTCATAAAATGGGTCAGACCAACAACTCATCCTACCTCACATCTGGCAATGGCCCTAATACAGGCCTTCTCAGAAAGCATGGGGCATACCCTTTATGATACTGCCCTAAAAGCATTTGGAATGTCCTCCCATCTCAATGTCCCAAATAAAACCTTACCTTTTATTAAGGCTCTATCACCCACCAATGTAATGAAATCTTTCTAAACTTAATCCCTTTCTCACCTAGTCTAGTGTTTAAGGTTTTCATATTAATAATTCACCAAATAAAGTTGACTTTCTCTCTTTTCAACATCCAGAGATGCCCCCAGGATTCTAGCACCAAACAACAGTAACACATGATGGTCACTTTGGGATTCTGTTAACTTGAATTGTCTCTTCCTTAGTCCATAACGTCCCGGGCTGTAGAGTTTTCAGTAAAAACCTAAGGAGGTTCCACTGCATCCCATTATGTATTTCTGAAGACATTTTCTTAGCATTAATGTATCTTTCAGAAGTGAAAACAGTCACACACTCACACCTAGTACAAGATGCAGATAGCATGATTCTACATAAATGTTAAGATTATGGTGTTCCTAATATTCTTTTCAACAAATTAAGCATCTTGTTAGTCACTGTGGATACAGAAAAATAGTACACATTTTTGGCAATCAATGATGACTCTAGGTTTGTTTTTTTTTTTACTTTTTATTTTTTTAAAGATTTTATTTATTTATTTGACAGAGAGAGAGAGAGCTCACAAGCAGGCAGAGAGGCAGGCAGAGGGGGAGGGGAAAGCAGGCTCCCTGCTGAGCAGAGAGCCTGATGCCTATGGATCCCTATGCTAGGCTCCATCCCAGGACTCTGAGATCATGACCTGAGCCAAAGGCAGAGGCTTAACCCATTGAGCCACCCAGGCGCCCTCTAGGTTTTATTTTTAACCATTACTGCTAGCCAGAAGTGGATATTGATTTTTCCCCAACTGGTTCATTTACTCATTTGCAGTCCCATATAAAAGATTGCTACTGATTATCGTCTTCAGCTTGGCCTTTTCCATTGGGAAAAAAATGTGTTTTTTGCAAATCTAGAAATTCTCTATCTCATTACTCTCTTTCAGAATCTTAGGAAAGACCCCATTAGGAAGCAAGTTCAGCTGAGAAGTAACTCCTCCCATTCCAACTTGTTTTAAACCACTTCTCCACTTACAACTTTTTCCCACATACACACAGTAGTTTAATTGTATTCTGATTTCCCTTAAGAAAAGGTCTCTGATATGGAATTTTGTCAAAAGAAGTACACAAATAATTCAATGTATATCTAATCCCAAAACCCACACGGGAATATATCACTGCTGATACACAGACCAATTCCATGCTGGTAGGTTAACCTCTATGAGGGCACAGGGAATGCAGGGAAATACAGGGCTTGGTTGAACCGTAAAAACGAACAAAAAACCCCCCAAAAAGCCAGCTCTACAAGTTTCCTTAAAAAAACCCTTCCAAACCTTCTAAAATGTTTACTCCAAAAAGTTTCAATTATGCCCCGTAGTTCCCTAGTTCCTTCTTGTCCTTGTTATCTTCCTCTCTCTTAACTTCATCCCTGTTTTCTTTACTGAATGCAAAGACTAGAAAGCTCCATAAATGAGTGTCAATGACTGGGAGATGCAGAGATGCAGACCCTCAGAACTGAGTCATTTAACTCCTCAAAGTGGGGTCCCTGGAAATAGTGTTCACTAGGGTGTCTGGAGGCAATCTATTTCTATTTTTCTATTTTCTTTTGTTTAAAGATAAACCCAGTTTCATTCTCATTTAGTCCCGGGAAAATCCTTTGCTAAAAGGTGCCTCAGAAGGTTTTCTGGTATAAACTCAGGTAAAGTTCCAAAGTGTACCTTGGAGAGACACAGGTTGGAAAAATCACCTTGGAATGCTGATCAACTGAATCATTCCTAACATGCCGAGGAATGTTCCCACGATTGCCAAAACAGTCCTGAAACTGAGGGCTGGCTATTCCACTTTACATTAAGCCCCGAATAGCTTCTGAACGTAAAAGTCCATCACTTCCAACAACAGTCATTAGTCTCAAGAGTTGGTCAAGATGGGTACCAAGGTATCTATAGACATTAATTTGGTTAAATGGCATTCCAGGAGAGAGTAAACCATAATGAAATAAAAAACTCAACTTAGAACACATAGGGCATAGAAATTTCTCTTCCATGTATTTAATTTTTTAAAAAATTAAGGTAAAAGGCTGTGGTAAATTGACTTCCGTGGTACATCTGAATACTCTGAATGTGGCACCTTTACTAGGCAAGTATTTACACCTCAAACGTGACATGTTAGAAATTCACAGCAGATAACTACATAACAGAGGCAGCCATTCTCATCTCCCTTGACGGGATCTGGAGCTCTTTGGGTTTTAAGGACAACTGAAATAAGCCAGCTCAGTGATACATCCTCAAAATGGAGATACCAGAATGCAGTTATTGCAGAGAAATGTCTAGTAGAGATGACTGCTAGAGAGGCAGAGAGTTAATCAAGAAGTTAATAAATATTTATAGGATACGTATCCAGGCCAGATGCGATGGTAGGTAATGGGACGGGATAGTAAGTAAAGTGATCATTGTCCTCATGAGGCATATAATCTAGAGTTCCAGGAAGGTAAGCAGTACTCAATCCAAAAGCCCCTTGGCAGTGCACACTGCCCACCTGAGGTAAGGGGGAACCAAGCAGTGTCTACCTTGAGGACCCCTAATTTTTGAGTTCAGAAGACAGGCCACTGTGCTGGAAGAGGGGGCAGATTGGGGGGGGGAAGACTTTAAAATTCCTCAGGTTTATAGTGCCTCCTGGCTCCTGGAGTTCGGACTTCAGAGAAGACAGACAGGAAAGCATTTCCTCTTAGTCATGAATTACCCCCTCCATCATGGGGTAGACTGAAGCAAGAGAGAAGGCGCCCTTTGGTGGGTACCTGCAGCTGGGCCTGGGGGTTCTGAGGATGGCTACCTCTGGGGGGAGCTTAAGTTAACCTCTGTGCAACAGTCTTCCTATTAAATGTCCAATGCTGTCCACTTTATTGAAACTGAAGCAGCCCTTCTAAAAAGTGTCTAACCTCTGTCTCTCTAGGGAATTGAGTGAAGGATCCAGGCCCACACTTAAGAGAAAGGAGGTCCAGAGAGAGCTGCAGCAATGGCCCGAGGGAGGAAGGAAGTCACCCTTAGCCAGAGAGCAGCAGCCGAAGGGAAGAAAAAAGTTGGTACTTCAGAACTCCAGCCAGCTGGGGAAACAGCAACAATCAGAGCACATCTGTTCAGTGTCCCAGAGCCTTAGTTTCTTCATCTGAAAATGGGTATAATACCAGTAACTCTTTTACAGGGTTACTGTGAAATTAAAGGTATTAATACAGTAAACACCTACCAGTACTTGGCATATAGTGAGGTATTCCATACATATTCGTTATTACTATCATTAAAGCAAATAGGATCTGTGTGCTTATCTTTAGGGACAGCACTGCGGGGAAGGGCAGTGTTTGTGGAGTTGTGGAGACCATATCCTGCTCTCTATATAGAATTAGGCTCCAGGAAGAATAAATGAAACAAGATGGGATTGGGAGGGAGACAAACCATAAGTGACTCTTAGAATCTCATAAAACAAACTGAGGGTTGCTGGGGTGAGGGGGGTCGGGAAAGGGGGTTGGGGTTATGTACATTGGGGAGAGCATGTGCTATGGTGAGTGCTGTGAAGTGTGTAAACTTGGCGATACACAGACCTGTACCCCTGAGGATAAAAATACATTATATGTTTATTAAAAAATAATAATAAATAAAAAATTAAAAAAAAAAAAAAAAAAGAATTAGGCTCCAGGAGAGACACATCACAAGAGTAGAAGCTGAAGACAGAAAAGGAATGCAAACTGAGCCCAACAGTGTTCTGTGAAAGTCATGGGAGTCCATGTCCTCCTAAAAGGTTCAAGGTCTGGGAGGTAGAAATGCCCATATGGCATTCTAAGGCAGTCAGAAAAAGAAAAGAATTCAACTAAAATGAAGGAGTTTTTTGATCATTGGTCATAGTCCTTTGGGCTGGGTTTTGTGAGCAGCAAAAATAATCCTGGAAGGGGGCAAAGAAAGTAATTATTATGTTTTAAATTTCCAGAAAATATTTTAGAGGGAGTAGAGGCTGGATCAAGATGGTACTAACCTCATGAGGGAGTTGGAAAGACAAAGGGAAGCCAGACTCTGTTTTCTTTAAAGCTGGACCTGGTCGGATGCTCTATCTATTCCATCTAGAGGGAAGCTTCTATTTTCCTCATTGCAACTTGTGAGGCCCTCACTGATCCTTTGTCCTTTCAGGAAGAATGGTCTGAGTGTGTGAGTGAGGTGGTCTCATTAGCCCACTATGAGAAGACACACATGAGGTTAAAGGAAAGCCTAGGTTCCAGAGGCCTCTGGGGTCATCCCTAGTTTACAAGGCAATTGTAAATGAGGGGAGCTGGCAGGCAGCTACTTACCACAGACCATTCATAAACAAAATGCAAAGCCTAAGTTCTAGGTTTCAACATAAAGATCAGGTGGGCTGGCCAAATCTAAAAAAGTAAACAAGGCATAGAAAGCAGAAGCAAAATTATTTCTTACCAAATATCTTCAGGCCAGCCATGCTTTATTAGATCTTCATCTATAGTGAGAAACAAGAAAACAAAGAAAAGGTTAAAAAAAAAACCTGTCAAATGAAAATATGCCAGAGTTTACAGTAAGCTGTGGAGTGGAGAAATACCAAGCCTTTCCACAACCGTTTCTCTCCCTTAATGGAGGAAAGAGTAATTCAGAGAGGCTCTGATGCTTGAAAACACAGGAAAAAGAAAAATTTGTAAAAATGGTTTTTACATTTGGGCCATGATAATTGTTATTATTTTTATAATAACACTTCTAAGAAACTTTAAAGATATTTCTATTAAAAGGTAGTAAAACTTCAAATCAGAGCACCGAAGAAGTTAGATGAGGTCTTACAAAACTGATGCACTGTAAGAAATTTATTTGTTAAAATGGTTTTACTAATCAGCGGACCGCATTTTACTTTTTTAAAAAAGACCTCTCAATTATAAAATTGTAGGACATTAGAAGATACAAAAACCACCAGAAGTATAAAAAAGGAAATAAAAATCATCTAAAATTCTGTCACATACAAAAGAAAAATAAAATCGAAGAAATAGCTAGAAATTAAAACTGTCTCTCTGGGATGGAACATGGGTGTTGGAAAGGATAGGGTGAAAAACAAATGTTTTTATGATACGCATTGTTACTATTTGAAGTTCTAAGCTATGTATTTGTTAGAGCAAAGTAAAATAAAAAATGAAAAAGTTCTTTGGAAACAATGACTACTTAATTCTATCATGTGAATAAACTTTTTACTGTTCACATTTGGACTGTTCTTAATAATAAATGCTTTAGTAAATATTTTTAAAATAAATATGTCCATATTCCTGATTATTTCCTTCAAGCATATTTATAAAAGGTCAATTATTCCTTCAAAATGTATACTTTAACATTTTTAAGGCTAATAATATATTATCACTACAGAAAAATAATATCAATATACACTTCCAAAAGCCACATTAATAATTAGAAACTAATTGTGTTTAATACAAAAGCATTACTTAAAGTATCAGACACAAGGCTAAAAACTGTAAGGTAAACAAAATGATTAATGTGATGATTTAAAATGTACTCAAGAAAGTATAATCTATCTAACTTGAAAGGGGTATTCATTTTCCAGAAAAACAAAGGGATGACAAATCTTGGATGAGGGTACTCTTAGATACTGCAGACACCATAAATTTTCTGAAGGGCTTCCTACTAGCTTAAATGGGAAGCTGAGCCAATAGCCAACAAGTAATCAAAAAAAGTAAAGGGAAATACAAAAACCTCTTTCCCTCAGCCAGGCCATGTTTGGCTCCCTGGTGACACCTGCTGGCTAATAAAAAGAAAACATCTGAAAGCTTTTCAGTAAAAGAAAATTATTCAATTAAAAATTCACTTGTGTTCCACGTAGTCACTTGTCTGAAGTCATCAAGGCTGTTAGAAATAAGTATGAAGTTCTAGGAGCACAAGAGAATGGGGTGTTTTAAAAAAAATTTAATATTTTCATACAAAGCTGACTAGGAAAACGGACACCTCCAAATATCTCCAAACGGTCATGGGGGAAAAATGTACTATACATAGATTTCTTTCTACAAACATTTTAAGGGCAGCAAAACACCACTCCAGTGGGTTCTGGAAAGAACCTAAATTTACATCTGTCGAATCTAAATTTATGTCTATAGATATAAATCTGTACATAAAAGTTTCTACAATGGACATTCCTTTAAATGGGCTACAATCAAGCCCATCCTAGCTCTTCCTTCTCCACGAAGCCTTTCTGGTTCTCTCCCAATCACACTTACTCTCTGCCTCTCTACTGCTACAGCACTTACTCATACCGCTTCAGTGAACCCATACTTTGTTTTTTTTTTTAAAGATTTTATTTATTTATTTGACAGACAGAGATCACAAGCAGGCAGAGAGGGAAGCAGAGAGAGAGAAGGGGAAGCAGGCTACCCACTGAGCAGAGAGCCCAAGGAGGGGCTTGATCCCAGAACCCTGGGATCATGACCTGAGCCGAAGGCAGAGGCTTTAATGCACTGAGCCACCCAGGAGCCCCTAACCCATACTTTTTAAAATAGGCTTCATTTTTAAGAGCAGTTTTTAGATTCACAGCAAAATGATCATTATTTTTTCGTGTGTGTACCTCTCCAGCTTTAATGCTGGGAAAGCACAGATTACATCTTCCCCTTTGGCTACTCAGAGAGGGTGGCATGTGGACCCACACAGATCAGCCCCAACAAATAGTAAACTAAAATGGAAGGAAAAGAGAGACATGGTGGGACTGTCCCTAGCACAGCTGCCTTGAGAGCTCGTCAATGAGAAGCAGTATCAATGCAGTCCTTCATTGTAAGAAATAAAGTTTCCTGCCCAGAGTCATACAGTGCAAAACCCACACAACCGTATGGAGCAGCTTTAGGTGCTTTAAAGCTCCTTTAGGTGCTTCTCAGTAACCTAAGTCTTGGGCTTGCATCCTCAATGTAGTAGAAAGAAAAGTAGATTTGATCAGGTATGGATCTATATCTAGTGTAGGTAACCAGGACTGGTTCTAACTGTTCCTCCTTGCTCAATGTACTACAAGGAGACAGCATCCTCTTCTCAGCCACATTCATCAGGAGGATGCTATGAAAAAAATACAAATTACCTATGATGATGTATGAGTTACTAAGAGAAAGAGAAAACTCAAGTATTAATATACAGCAGATTGCTTCTCCATAACTCACACCAGAGACAATGTCATAAATTCAATACAAGGAAAAACTGTTTAAAAATTATTTTATTCTGTTGTTTTCAGGGTTTTCTTTTGTCTTGGATGGGATGTAATAGTCTTGCTATTCTCATTCTGCTTTATACAACCAGTATTATTGCAAAGTTCTAAACCATTTATACAGATCTGATTAATAACTATATATATTTACACAGCTATTACATGTATCACATTATACATTTTATATATATTACATTGTATGTTATATTAGATATGTGTATATGTTAACTATACATATAGTTAACTATAGATGTAGAATTCTACATCTACATATACTATAGTAATATATAACATTACTGTTCTCTGACATTTTTTCATTTTTGGCTTTGTTAATTTCATTCATGTCAAATGTCTCATAGTGAAGAATGTTATACTTGCCTCTTTTAAAGAATCAAGTTTAAACTGTTCTCAGTTTCAAACTGCACCTGGAACAGACTGATGGTTTTAGGGGTGGCGGCGGGGGGGAAATAAAGCAATACGTGGAGGTTAAAGAAAAGCAATTGGAGGGAACTGGCCAGCTCTCAGAGTCCTGAGGTGGTCACCCAGCCATGGAACAGTCCCAGGAGCAAGAGGAGCTGGTTCTGGGGAGCTAAAGAAGCTCCATCGGTGACCCCTACCATTGCTGAGCGCCCACCCCAGGCCAGGTGCTTTACTCAGGCTCTTTATTTAACCCTCACACCCCTGCAAGGCAGCACTGGCCCATGATCCTCTTTGTACACCTCAGCAATGTGAGGTTCAGAGAGGTAAAGTGACTACAGCCAGTCTGCTAAGAGCTTGCATTTTAACCCACATGGGCCTGAATTCAGAGTGCTTTTTTCCAAAACATGACACAAACCCTGTGAGAAGAGCCACTGTGTATTCTCCAAGCTTGAAGAAGAGAGGTTCTGTCAGGTCTCCAAGCTCCCTTGCTGCATATCTTTTCTCCCTCAGCTCAGGGCTGTCAACTCCCTGCTCCACAGCAAGACAGCTCACCTTCGTTTTCGTCTCCCTCCTCACTCGGGCAATCAGAAGGCCACATCCCTAAAGCGGTTTTCCCTTTCAAACTTTAGTTTACATTGATTAGTGGGTCAAAAAATTAATATAGCTGGTTGAGTCTAGCTTTGTAAAAATCAAACAAAACAAAAAAGAGGGCACAGCAAAAAGTATGGGCATTTTTTGTAAATTTTTGTTTTAGTTACATCGATGTGTACAGTGTGGAATAATGTATTTCATTCTGAGCAGAGTGATCAACAAAGTTTGAAAAAATAATGTTAACATTTTGTAACTCAAAAAGAGCCATCTTCAGCCTCAAAAATCCTAAAAGTATGTTTCCTCTATTCTTAAATGTGGTAAAAACATACAGAAAATGATCTTTACAACTAAGTCACACATGATTTTTACTTGATACAAATTAGCACAGGTTAACCTCTGATTCATATCACCTTATATCAGATACCACAAAACTCTTAGTAAGAGTTAAGTTTCTAATCAGCAACAAGTGGTCCAATAGACCCCAATATTATTTGATATAATTAAATCCCAGGAAAGTTAACCCACTGGAATGCCTTATAATGGGCTTAATTAGTAGTAATTAGCTGAAAACTCATATCTGACTAACCAAGGGCGGGTAGGGGAGGAGGCAATTAACACTTACCTGCTGGAAATTTCAAAATCAAATGCTTTTGAAAACTTACTTTCATATTTATCCTTTCCCATGTAAATAGTGTAAGCAGATGAATTAACTAAGACAAAACAAAAATATAAAAAAGTTAGATAATTTCATCCCCAACAAAACTGCCTCATGGGAAAAATACGCAACAAATACTTTGATTAGGGGTTGGCAACACATGGCCCACAGGCCAGATTTGGCCCTTTTTTGGAAGCCTGTATGCTAAGAAATGACTTCTACGGGGCGCCTGGGTGGCTCAGTGGGTTAAAGCCTCTGCCTTCCGCTCGGGTCATGATCCCAGGGTCCTGGGATCGAGCCCCACATCGGGCTCTCTGCTCAGTGGGGAGCCTGCTTCCTCCTCTCTCTGCCTGCCTCTCTGACTACTTGTGATCTCTGTCTGTCAAATAAATGAATAAAATCTTTAAAAAAAAAAAAAAGAAATGACTTCTACATTTTTAAGGAGTTCAAAACACAAAATGAGGAAGAATAAAGCTAGAGACTGGATGTGGCTCACAAAGTCTAAAATATTTACTATGTGGCCCAAATAGGAAAATTTTATTGACCCTTATACAATGGATACTTCCCTACTTTCATCAGGGATAGAGTTCAATAGAATTCCAGTTCAGCCCTATACTTTTGCCTTCTTCAAAAGAGTAAAAAAACAAACAATTTAACCTTTGCCTCAACCATTTAAAAATGGGCTCCTATACTTAGCTGAGTTTTTTCATAATTTTATTTTGGCAATATTCTCTTCCAGGTGAGCTGCAAATTATAATGCACTATCCCATTCCAGGAAAAGACAGTTTGTCAATTATCTTCAAAATCAGTGACTGAGCCCTGATTACACATTAGAATCACCTAATTATGTCCCAGGTCCATTAAAACTAACCAAATCCAGATTTCTGGTGGATAAGCAATGGTGTATTTTTTTTTTTTTAAAGGATCTTCAACTATCTCCAATGTGAAATGAGTGTTAGGAAATACTGCCTTAAGCCAAACTGAATATTCTAGATATGGCTTACCTTAGAAATGACATTTGTTTTACTGAGCTAGTGACTTGCCGCAGGCATCTTCCATCTAGGGTCAAACAAAAATTTAAGTTTCCGAAATTGAAATTCTATCTGGGCACTGGGTTTCCAAGCTAGTCTACCAAAACTTGTTTGACCCCATCTGGATCTAAACTCCTGAGTTAATAGTCACTGGGCCCCCAGTCTGGGCAGCCTGTTGGCTGTCATTCCAAGGCACAAACTAGTACATATGAGTGGAGCTCCGAAGGCCAGAGGCAGCACTCTCATTTATATATATATTTTTTAAGATTTTTATTTATTTATTTGAGAGACAGAGATCACAAGTAGGCAGAGAGGCAGGCAGAGAAAGAGGAAGGAAAGGAGGCTCCCTGCTGAACAGAGAGCCCGATGTGGGGCTCGATCCCAGGACTCTGGGATCATGACCTGAGCTGAAGGCAGAGGCTTTAACCCACTGAGCCACCCACGTGCCCCTCATTTATAAATTTTTAAATAAATTGCCTGTACTTTCAGTAATGAGAAACTCCTTAAAATATCAATCATAGTTGCTCTCTTGGGGCGGGAAAATCCCATTTCCTTCAGTTAACTGTTATAAATACCATAACCCAAATTACCTGTAAGTAGTTGAGGGAACTATCTGGAAAAGAGAGAGTATTTGCATTGACTAGTTGACAGAAATACTCATCTATAATTGAGAATTACATTAGCTTGGTAAGACCTTAGCATAGCCAGAACAGCCATTATAACAAATGCCAGAAGTGCAGGAATAAAACCATTTCAGATTGTCTCTGTACAACCCAGTGTTATTGTACGTGTACACTCTTTGATCCTGTAATGTCACCACTAAGTATATACTATAATTACTCTATCAAGCAATGATGTTCGTTTTACAATCTAAATACCCATTAATTAAGACTGGCTAAACACGGTAGAACATACATAAACAAAATACCACGTACCCACTGAAAACAAAAGGCAGGAATTAAATAACAGTATTTTTGTATACATATGGCAAGATTCAATTTGTAAAAAATGAATATATAGTTGTATATTCAGGTTTACAACCATATGCTTAATATATGCATATATTTTCTTTATATGTATGAGAAGATATACATATAACTGTTACCAATACTTACCTTGGCTAGTTTGCCTACCAAATATATAGATGGTTTTTTATAATCAGAAGGAAAGTAATTTTTCAAATGATTAAAATAAAATAAAGCTGTTTGTGCAGGCTAAGCCACCTAAATTGTAGCCAAGAGAGTAACAGACAATTATTTGGATGGTTGACCTATAAAATGAGGTGATTAAGAACATAAGTCAAATGCAAACTGAGAGGCATTCTACAAAATAATTCTTCAACAAAAGCATCATGAAAGACAAAGACTAAGCAACTGCTCCAGATTAGAACAGGCTGAAGAGTAATGAATGACAACCAAATGCAACAATGATCTGTAATGTTCCTTTGTTATAAATGCATTATTAGGACACCAATGAAAACCAAAAAAAAGCTGATGAGTTAGTAGTATTGCTGCAATGTTAATTTCCTAATTTTGATAACGAGGAATGCTTTTTGATAACAAAACATCTTTGATTTTAGGGGGAAAAAATCCTTAAGTATTTAGGGGTAAAATGTGACTTACCAAAAAATGGCTCAAGAAAAAAAAAGTGTGTGTGTGTGTACACACATGTGTGGAGAGAGGGAGATGAAAAATAAAGAGGGAAGGAAAGAAGTTCTAATGTTAGAATTTGGGCGATCTAAGAGGTTATAAAGGAAATCCTTTATTATTTTTGTAACTTTTCTGAAAGACTGAAATTAGTCAAAAGAGAAAATTAAAAAAAAAAAAAAGGAAAATGACTGCTCAGTAAGAAATCTGAAGGAAGTTCCCGTGTATGTTAAGAGGGATAAAGGAAAAGTAAATTGAATTACTCTAGTACTTTTGTTATTCTTGCCCAAAGAATAAGGTTGATTAGTATGGAATATAGTCATCTTAAAAGTAGAGAATTCAGGTGTAGCAACCAATCCAACTTTAGAGGCTCTGAAATAATTTCATTAAATACAGATGCAATCAAAAGGTACCAGAAGTACAGATGGACTTATGAGCCAAGTGCAGATACTGTATGGGTCCATAAATCAGATGGTCTTGAATTTGACAGTGGAAATACAGTAAGGCTAATGTTTCATTATTCCATTATGACAGAGCATGAAACACGAATTAAGTCAAACAGATTTTAGTCAGATACTAATTTTAAAAGGAAAAGCAATAACTTTGTATTTTCTCCCCATTTAAAAAAAAGTTTTTATACAGTAAACCCTAAGTTGTCTGAAAAGCTTGGCAAGTACTTTCCTGGAATCTGTATGTTCAAGTTGATTTCTCTAAAAGGATATGTTAAAGTTCTATTACTATTTTACTGACAAAGTTATAATTTTTCCACTAACTTTGCAATTTTATTTTTAAAAATTTCTTTATTTATTAGAGAGCAAGAGAACAACAGAGAGCCTGGAGGAAGAAGATGGGTAGAGGGAGAGGAAGAAGCAGGACCCCGGGATCATGACCCAAGCTGAAGGCAGCCGCTTAACCGACTGAACCATCCAGGCGCCCCTTTGCAATTTTAAAAGATTTGCTGCCCAAGTGCGTTTTTGTTAGACTTAAAAGCCAAGTATTTTTCCAACGGGAAGCAGTTCTGACCTTATAATGGGAGCCAATGAGGAAAACATGACCCATAATCTGCTACAACACTGCTCTATTATGGGCATCTGTGTAAGTACAAATAGTGCTCAAAGAATTTTGAATGGCTTTAAGGAGAATAAATTAGCTAACATAAAATACAAGTAGTACCTATAAAGCCCGCCTGTATTTTTTATTTCATTGTTGGGCTTCTTCTTTGGATACCTATATTGTTGGGAACTCTCATGAGTGGAGAAGCTAAAAAGAGATTGGAGTTAGGACAAAGTCAGCAAGCAAAAAAAAGGGAGGATGCTATTAGGGGCCTATAACAGCTTTTCAGGCTAGTGTGAATTGTTTCTGATAATTTTAATAATATGGGTAAGACAAAACAACTATATAAAGGCAGACAAATGGCTTATGGCACACTGTCAAGTCTAGACTACTGAAAAAAATTAGATGGGACAGTGTTATGGAATGAGGATGGGGGCAGTCTGTGAGCAAATTCCCTGGGCCCTAATGTTCTCATCTTTAGAGAAAGTATCACCTTACTCAACAACATGAGGCTGGTTTTGCTTCAATCTCACGTATAACAAGCAAGCAGAGAGAGTAACAACAGAATAGTATGTGCTGTGACTAAGTCAAAAAATACCTTTATTCAATAAGCATTTATTAACTACTATAAGCCAGGCACTAGACTGCCCCTGTACTCAAGAAGCTTACACTCTAGATTAAGCAGACAGCATCTAATACCAAAGATACACAGGGGTTGTTAAGGGGGTTCCCCAAAGAGGTTTAGCTAAGCAATCTCTGGGTTAGGTTGGGAGAGGCATTTGTAAAAGATGGGCCAGAGCTGTCTTAGGGGAGTTAATGAGATTGATCAGGCAAAAGGAACAACATAAGCACAAAAAACGAGGTCAAGACATAGCATTTCCTGGGAACTAAAAGCACCCTTTCCTTGGCTGCCAAAGACAAATCAGAAACACTATCATGTGTCAAATTTTGAGATCTGGGACATCAACTCTAGCCAGTGAGTGGCTGTACCGCCACTCCACGGTTTTGTTTTTTGTTTGTTTTGTTTTTTACTGTTTTCTGTTGCATTCCAGAACCTACAACGCTATCCTAGAAGGGTAAGGCGCACTTCCTGGAAGGCAGTGTGGTTGGCAGGTAAGCCCCTTCTCTCTCCAAGTGGGTAATTACCAGGACCCAGTCAGAATAAAGGTCAAGCAGGTGGAGGTGAGACCTGCGACGGGGGTGTGAAGAAGCCCACAAACTCTGCCCAATTCCAGGTAGCGAAGGGAGGTCTTCCCGAAGAAAAAGAACTCCCGGATGCAAAGACAGCAGGAGTGATGGTCCATCTACACTCCCCCAGACCCAGACAAGGGGCACAGGGGGACGACAGGGACGGACACAAAGTGGGGACCGAAAGGGCGCAGGAAGAAGCCCCCACTGCCGAGGAGGAGCAGCTTTAAGATGAAGTTCAGGCTGAACAGCCGGGGGTCCCGGCTTCGGAGCCCCGCTGTAGAGCAGGGACGGAGGAGGTCACCGCGCCCACTCACCGCTGTTGCTGGTAAAGTAGAACACCATGATCTCGGCGGCGGCGCGGGGACTCCAGCGCGCAACAGCAGCACTCAACTCGCTAGCTCAGGATACCAGAGAGAGGAGGCCTCCTGTTCCCCGGAACTCCTCGCGCACTTCCGGCGGACGTCGGGTCGCGTCATAACGCCAGCCGTTGGCGCCATCTTTAATCCTGGCGAGTGGGTGAGTGGGGGAAGGGTGCGGGCGGGCTAATAACGTTCACTGGTTTGGGGGTTGAAGAAGGAAAGTAGATGGAGCTAGGACAATTCGTAGTTGGAAAACGCAGCAAGGAAATTCTATCCTCTTAAAAGAAAAATGCCTTTGGCCGACGTTGCTTTTAGAGTCACCACCAAGTGAGCGGTCTTATCTTGAGGCTTATCTGTTGGTTGTTCACTGCTACCCATCACCCCCTGATGGGCTCCGGGACAGCAGAAACCACTGCCTCCTTCACAGTCTTCCCTGCGCCAATCACGGTAGCTGGCACGTAGTAGAAACTTTTTATTTTGAAATGAACCCAAATGCTTCCACTATTCATATTCTAGCTCCGCCACTTACAAGGCGTTTGTTGGCCACATTCTGTGCTTCACTCACCTGATCTGCAAAATGAAGATGAATACAGCAACTAATTCATAGGTTATTTTTCCAAGGTGAAGTAAGTTAACAGGTGTAAATGGTTGTAAATGGTTTAGAACATAGTGAACGGTTGACTAAACTGATTTGTTAATGATATTCCCAGAGGCATATACTTCTTGGGGTTTGGACTCAGGACTGTTCTGCTGTAAACTCTATGATGGGCCATCCATTACCTGTGTGATAGGGCAAATTCCAAACCAATGAACCTTAGAAATATAACTGCTTTTGTCACATGGGAATAATATTACTTATGTAAAGCTCCCCAGCAGTTAGTTTTGACCTGATTGTTTCTCTTCACTCCGACAGACTACGTTCTATGAAGAAAAGTGCATTCTTCAACCAAATTTATTTAGAACTAAAAATGTGCCAAAGACTCTACCAGGATCTGGTGACACAAAGATAGTAACAGTAGCTCACAGCCCATGAGTACTTTAAAACCACAGGGCTTCCCAAAGCAAGAACCTAGCTATATCCTATAAATAGTAATTGTTTTTGGGCCCTCAGTTTTAGTTTCAGTAAAATGGGAATGATAATACATATCTCACAGGTTGTGACGAGAAGTAAATGAAATAAAACTCGTAAAGGGTGTGAGACTGCCCGGCACGTCACAGATGTTTAGAGCCAAGATTTATTTATTTATTTATTTTTTATTTAGGTTGAAAAATAAAAAAATGAACTAGAAATCTAACATATTACTAATAAAAATAGTTAATGAACAAAGCTTCGAACGTAAAAGACAGCTGCCTCGAGAATCTTGGGAAGGCTACTTTACGAAAACATGCTAAACCAGTAACCCCAGAAGGTGCCACGACCTCAAGAGGGTGACTTTATCTGCCGAAAACTACAATCCCCAGAATGCATCTAAACCAGACCTAGGGAACGGAATCCGGCGCTCCCGCAAGGGATTATGGAAGGTGTGGATTTCTTGCCTGAAGAGAGCGGTTCACCTGCCAAGGGCGGGAGAATCTTGGAGACCCCCTCCCGGATAGGCGGGGCAACGGCTAATGAGCGACCAATCACCGAGCCAGCCCTTGGAGGGTCTGAAAAGCGGCGAATCAAAACGCAGCGGCTTCAGCCTTCACGGGCGCGCGGTAATTTGAATACAGTGGAGGAGAAACGGGCTCCACTGGAGAGAGATTCCCGGCTTCGAACCTCAGGTGAGGGCTGCGGGGGCCGAGGCGCGGGGCGGAAGACTGAGGAGAACGGGAGATTCTGTGGAACGTGCGGGTGAATGTCAAGGAAAAAGGGCTTTAGCTGAGGGCTTGGCGCCGCGGCGGCTCGAGACCGAAACCTCTCGGGGGTTCTCCGCACTTTGAGGTCACCGGGTTTCCATTTTTCTGACTTAGGGTTTTCTTGTCTTTTTGCCCTGACAGGGTTTGAGGACAGGCGCGCTTTTCTGTCATACCTTTCTTCATTCCTCTCCAGAAGAGTCCTCTCTTAAGCAGGGGCTCGACCTCTGAGTTCCAGAGACCCCGGTTTTCTCTTTAACCTTGAAATCCTGCCTGTGTTTTACTTTTTTTTTTTAATGTACCTAATCCGAAGGAAGGAGGAGAAACTACTGAGCAACATAACCAGGCTCTCTCATGCTCGAGAATTAATGTGCAGGATTGTGTTTATTTTCAGCAGCGGGAGGAGCTCCTAGTCTTTTATAAACAAGGAACAAGCGGCTTGCTCTAGGCTCCTCAGGAAGATGGGAGAGGATTATGCTAAACCCATTTTCTTGCATGAACTCTGAAGAAAAAGCTAGAAACGGTCTCTGCCTTCACTGAGCATTTGGGCTGTTGAGGAAGACAGTTAAACCACCAAGAAAATGTGTTAAATGTCGTATTAAGGAAGTGTGGGGTCTGGTGAGGGAAATCACAGGAAGATATCCCGGTAAAGTATTTAAACTTGGTGTTAATTAATCAGGCTAACTAAAGGGGAAAATGTGCCCTGAAATGGAATTTAAAAAAACAAAACAAACAAACAAAACTTCTTCCTTGGTGGGATCATTTTCAGCTTGAAACAGATGTACTAATTCTACTTTTATTTCTTAATTGCTACTGTGAGGCAGTGTTTTCCTTTTTTTTTTTTTTTTAAACCTTCACGGTTTAAATATTTATTAAAGTGATTTTCTTTTTAAAGTACCTCATCCATCAAAAAAACTTTTTCAGACTCTAAAAGTATAATTTTGATACAGTGACTTTTATACATATTGGATTAATTTGGTTGTTATAATTTTCCTGTTGCTTTTAGGAGTTCAGTTAAGAAGATGTCAGCTTTTACTCCAGGAAAAAGGAAGCAGCATTCTTCAAACTATGAGAAGTGAGTTTCATCCCGTGGTTAGAAACTCCCAAGAAAGTAAAATCCACCTTTTTTCTTTCTTATATTTCCTTTCTTTTTCTTAAAATCTCCATTATTCCACTTGTCTACTTGTGGCTCTAGCAACATTTTAAATTCCAATTCGAATCTGGAAATACTGTAAACTTTCAAAATTAATTATTCAGTGCCTTTGGAGAGAATCAGGAAGAGCTGTTTTCTCTGACTTGGAAATGTATGTTAAATCTTTTATTACCTTCCTCCTTTCTGTTCTCTTATAATAATTAACATAGTGGTTTTCATTCAGTACTCTTCTGTGAACAATCCTAGAAAGTCTGTTTACTCACTGCTTACTACATGTCATAATAGGAGATAAATTACTCTGCACAGAACAGGCTTGAGAGGGTCAGTTTATTACATAGAATTAATAATTTTAGGGAACTTGTAGCCAGTTAAGCCTGGTGAGCTCTGAATATATGACCAAAACTTAGAAATAGGTTTTAAAGCAAGGGCGTGCCACAATATAAAAGCTTTTTTATTAATAGTGTTTGTTTTTGCAAGCATTATTGGGAGTTTACTTTTGAAAAATATTTGAATGCTTTGGTAAAGACACAATTTGATAATCCTGTTTAATAGATAATGTGTATGGATGGATGTTTGGTAGAGAAGATGTATTATTTTTAGTATGACATACAAATATGGTTGTTTATTACTTAGCAGTAGATTGCCATAAAATTGAAGCAAGATGATACTTAAAAATGGACTTTGTTTCTTTTCATAGCCTATTATCAGACATTCCATCAAAGAAATTAATTCTGGACTTTGCTGAGAATATACTTCCATCACCTGATCAAAATTACATTTGCCAAAGAAGTGATAACAGTGAAGAAAAGGCACATTGCTCTCAACAAGGCCATTTCCTTTCAAGTCCACTCGAAACAACTAAAAAAAACAAATTTCCACCTGCAAATCAAGGTTCGCCATTTAAATCTGCTGTGTCTACTGTATCCTTTTACAACAAAGACAAGTGGTACCTCAACCCATTAGAAAGAAAGCTGATAAAAGAGAGTAGATCCATTTGTCTAAAAACTAATAATGAAGACAAATCTTTTCCCGTTGTGACAGAAAAAATGCAGGGAAAACCAGTCTGCTCCAAGAGATTGAATAAAAAACCACAAAAGAGTTTAACTTCTAAGTGTCAACCAAAATATAAATGCATCAAGCCTCTATCAAAGAATTCCAAAAATTCCAAGCAAAATCAAGTGGCCTATAAGCCAATTATAGAGAAAGAGAATAGTTATTATTCAGCTCAAAATAATCTGAATGCTCCTCGCGTTCTAAGCCAAAAAGTCAAACCGCAAGTTACGCTTCAGGGTGGAGCGGCATTTTTTGTTAGTAGAAAAAAGCCCTGTCTTAGAAAATTGTCTCTGGAAAACAAGCCATCATTGGGACTCACACAAAAGAATATATCAGAAGTGATTGAAGGTTCTGATGTAGAGACCGTCAGTAAAAGGAAAAAATTTGAGACAAGGCAAGTGCCAAAGTGCTTGTTACTAGAAAAAGAACCGAACGTCGAGCTGCTTCATGCAAGAAGTAAAAATGAAGAAAAATTAATAAAGGTAAAGAAAACCAAATATGTAACTTTAAAAATAACTGAAACTTCAGTATACGCAATATATATGTATACATAACATGGTTGAAAAAAATTTTATTTTATTGTCCAAAGCACTGTTTTATGAAGCCAAATAGTATGTTTAATCACCATAAAAGAATATAGGGGCAGGGTGGAATGATGGGATTTTTGCTCTCTTTTTTGGCTAAAGGAAACCTAAACATTTTCTTGCATTAGGTATGCATTTCGTTAAATCTCCTTATTGCTAAAGTCCAGAGAAGCTTAGCAATTTTTACTTGGTAGTATTTTTAGAAAGTCGAAATAACAAAACCAGGGTAGTAGTTTTTCAGTGTATGAGCATATTGCTTTGTTTGTTTCAGCTCATTATTTAAAGTGCTAGATTGTAGAACATTTAGAGAAGACAAAGTACAACTTTTTTTTTAATACCTTGTTTTTGCTGGCTAAGCCATGACATTATGATTTTACTAATTCTTCCTATTTTTTCTGTCAAAAAACACCCCTATATCTTGACTGGAGTTTTGGGTTTTAGTGATATAAGTGTTTAAGTTTATCAAAACTGATCAGATTGTATACTTTATATCTGTGGACTTTACATAAATGTACCTAAGTTTTTAAACATGCACAATTCAGGGTAAAATTCTCAATTTAGCAAAACCAAGTGGTGGTGTGGGGGGTAGTTTCTGCATTTCCACCCATCCATCTTCTGGTTAGTATTCTCCCTATCTGTTTGGTAATAGAGAACATTTATACAGAGACCTGATGAATTCTCTGCAACTGTCTTTTTTGCCTTATTTTCTTTTCTGAACTTCCTTTTGAGGGGCTGGGTATTGGGTTCTGTCTAGTTTTCAGTAATCTTTGAGAAGCTGGGTTTTTGTGCATCTTAAATTTGTGAAACTGAGCTCTGCTCAAGATTCTCAATATTGCGTTAAATACCTGCTAATAGTATTCATCTCACCTAGCCAAGAATGAATCCTCTTTTCATTTGCGGGTACATCACCTTTCCCCAACTCATTATGGTGCCCTGAGAAATGGTGAACTGAAGTGTTGTCCCATTTCTATTGAGATGTAATGGTCTTGAATAAGAGTTCTACTTTGGGGGCGCCTGGGTGGCTCAGTGGGTTAAAGCCTCTGCCTTTGGCTCAGGTCATGGTCTCAGGGTCCTGGGATCGAGCCCCACATTAGGCTCTCTGCTCAGCAGGGAGCCTGCTTCCTTCTCTCTCTTTCTGCCTGCCTCTCTGCCTACTTGTGATCTCTGTCAAATAAATAAATAAAATCTTTTAAAAAAAAAAAAAAAGAGTTCTACTTTGATCAAAAGGGGTTTTTTCCTTTCCCCCCAAGCTACATATTCTGAGTCTTACCAAATTAGTAGTGTTAGTGAAATACTTGAGAGTGTTTTCTACTTTGCTTTTACCCCCTTCCCTGCTACTGCCCAAACAGGTAGGATTTGGAAGTCTCTCCAGCTACTCCAGAGTGGTTTTTGTTTTTTGTTTTTTGTTTTTTCCCCTTGGCTGCCTCTTTTTAAGGTTCATGACAGAAGGTTGTTCCTTCCAGTTTGGTGGCTGCTGGGATAATTTTTGCCAATTTTTTTTTTTTTTTTTTACTTCATTATCATAGAAGGGATGTTTTATAATCTTCAATCTACCATCTTTACCAGGAAATGTAATATGTTTTTGACAGGATGACAATTACAGTATTAAATATGTGGCCTCTATCTTTTAAAAGATTATGTACATTTAGTAAACAGAGAGGAAATTTCCTTAAAGTAGTCTGAAAATTGATTTAAAATCAATTTAAAAGTGTAATTTATAATAAACTTGATATTTTGCTTTAGGAATAAATCTATTGGGATTCATTCATGAGATAGAAAATAATTAAGAATTATAACTTTCCTTTAATTTTCCCTATTCATTATTTTCAGGATTCATTAGATGGAGTAGTTTCTTTAAGAGAATGTAAACCTAATGAAAATAAGTGTTTTCCTTCAGAGGATTTTCTCAGTGAAAACAAGGCGGGTAAGTAAGAGAAAACTTCTCCAAATGAGTTTATTTACTTGTAATGATAATTCATGTGTCAATATGGAATTATATACTGTAATATGTTGTGGGGTTTTTTATTTAGTATGTGAGCTTCTGTTTTGTATCTTTGTGTTTATCTCAGTGACACTGTTTTCAATGGTAAGCAGTGCGGTGCATTTTGAAGACAAGGAGAACTTGGGCTGGAATTTAAGACAAAATACTGATGCATAATTGGTCTATGGGATTTGGCCAAGTTACTTAGGCTCCTTAGAACTTGGTCTTCTCATCACACCTACCCTACCTATCTTTTACCCAAAATAATAGGAAGGAGTAAAAACGATTTATGTTATATATATGTGATCAAAGCCCTGTTGTAAATAAGCATAATTTACAAAACCATAGAAAGAACACTGAATTGGGCATCAGGAACCTTAGGATTTTGTCTAGGTCTGCCACTATTTAACTGTGTGATCTAGGGAGGAGATGTCTAAAGTAAGGGGTTGGTCTTCATTTTCAAATTTCTTAGTTCTGAAATCCCATTACTAACTCGTGGTGTCATTGTTCAAATAAACAGTATTTACTAAACTATGAATATACAGACAGGTTAATTAACATTTTATTTACCAACCAGATTCTTGGTAACTTTACCTTGTTGGTTATATCTGTAATTTTGGAAATAAATTAAATTCTAGGAGTATATATGTTGACTATAATGTGAAAACTGCAGTTTATAGGAAGAAAACAAAGATAAAACTAAAAGCATAATCTGGAACAATAGCACGTAACAGGACTTAATGATATACACAGAAGGATTGTTCATAATGATAATTCTGAAATACACTGTTAATAACTAGTATTTAGTAGGTGCTGAATTTGTGCCAGGCAGTGCTAAGTGTTTAGTATGGGTTGTGCTATTATTGATATAATAGAACATGTAACTGAACAATAATGGTTTTCTCTTTGCAGTAGTTATAATGTTTTCTTTTAAAATAAATTTATTTCAGTACACTAAGTCCATTTAAAGAAAAATACTTAATGAATAAAAAATAATACAGATGGCATAAGGATATGGTAAAATTCATAAAGGTAGTATACAAATGGTAAAAGTTTAATTAGTACTTCATAATTAGTTTATCATTTCTCACAATAACCCTAGGAAATGGGTTTGTATGCCCATTTTATAGAAGAGGAAAGGGACTTAGGTTAAGTAACTTAGCCACAGCGGATCAGACCTGTTTTGGCCTTGTTTCCAGAGAATGAGCTCTATTTTTCAATGTGAAGTTTAAAGTTTGCTTTTTTCTACGCAGCCCACTTGCAACATATTTTTCTCTAGTCAATTACTATTTTAACTTCGGTCTTTAAAACTTTTTTTTTTTAAGATTTTATTTATTTATTTGATAGAGAAAGCAGGGAGATTGGCAGAGGGAGAAGCAAGCCCCCGCACTGAGCAAGGAACCCAATGTGGGGCTCGATCCCAGGACCCTGAGATCATGACCTGAACCTAAGGCAGACGCTCAACCGACTGAACCACCCAGGCCTCCCCATTTTGACTTAATTTTTATGAAAAGTGCTGTCAGGTTTTTTTGCATATGACTGCACCATTTGTTGACTGTCCTTTCTCAGCTTAATTACCTTTGCTTCTTTGTCAAAAGTCGGTTGGCTGTATATGTGTAGGTCTGTTTGGTGCTCTCTGTTTTGTTCCATTGATCTGTTTGTCCTTTTGCCAATACCATATGGTTTTGATTACTTGTTGAGTCTTGAAATCAAGCGATTTGAATACTTTGGTCATATTAACGTTTAAAATTTTATGATTTAATGCTTTGAGTTTATGTTATAAATTATTGTCATTTTTTTCCCCTCCCAGTTTCTCCTGAGTCCATTGTTTATCCCATCTTCAGTGTGTCTCCAGTCAGTACAAAAAGGTGGGGATTGCTCTTCTTTAATGTTTAAGTTGTATTTAATTTTGGGTCCTCTGGGTATCTTTTTTTCTTGCGCTCTTTAATTTGGAGAATATTTTTTTTCCTCCCCACTAAGGGAATATTGAAAATAAGATGAAATCAGGTCCTGTCATAGAAACTTCATAAGAACCTAAGAGATGAGAGAAGGGAAAAATCTTTATGGGTTTGAGCAATAATAATTGTTAGCATTTTTTTTAAATAAAGATTTTGTTTATTTGAGCGAGAGAGAGCATGAGTAAGGGAGAGGCACAGAGGAAGAGGAAGAAGCAGGCTCCCCACTGAGCAGGGAGCCTGATATTGGTCTCAATCCCAGGACGCAGAGATCATGACCTGAGCCAAAGGCAGACAGATGCTTAACCAACTGAGCCTTCTAGGCACCCCATTTTGCTAACATTTTTATACAGTACCTGACCCATAGTAAATAGTTTATATCCTTTATCTCACTTGATTCTTACAGTAACCTAGAAGGTAGGTAGTATTAATAATTTCATTTTCAGCTGAGGAAACTGATAGTAATTAAGTTACAATTGCACAACTCTTAGGTGTAACAACTTTTAGTAGCCATGATTTGAATCCATATCTGAATTAAAGCCCGTTCAGCTATATTGACTTTCCTAGGTGATAATATATTAATAATAGTTCATGTTTAATAAGCATTTATAACTTCACGATGTAGGTACCATTATTACATTATTACCCCATTTTATAGACTGGGAAACTGGCCAGAGGAGTGAGTAAATTGCAGCAGTTCAGTGCTCTTATAAATGCCAGCTGAAGCTACCACTATCCTAGTCAAAGCTAAGACTGGGATGAGGGAGCATTGGCAGGTGTGAGCAGGATAGGTGGAAAAGCTCTGGAAAAGAAGTTTCTTATAGTCTGAACATCTTCCTAAGTAGTTTTGCTCCTTCTCTCCCCACTGGATGATAAATAGCAAGGTATTGAGCAAGGAGCTTGTAACTAGGTTCTACTTTCAGAACACCTCAACTTCTGTCACCTCAGAGACTGGGTTGGGTAGACAACTTTCCCTCTTCAAAGACCATATTCCGGGTTTTTGTACATTTCCATTTTTTCATCTATGTCTTCTTTCATGACTATTTATTGCGAATTGAAACCTGCCACAATTGGCTAATAAAAATATATACACTAATCTAGCCTAAGGAGATAATAGTATACTATTGCTTGGATTGCTCAAAATTTATCTTTATGTAGGACCCAAAAGGTCAAATCTCATCAATCCCTTGTAGTTTAACCTATGATTTTTAATTTAGGTAGGTTACAGATTCTCCAGGCACCTTGTCTCACATTTATTTTTTGTTCAGTCACTCATTTGGCCAACATTTATAGAGTACTATGCGGTACTGAACTATACTGAGTTTTGGAGCTGTAAAGATAAATAACAAATAGTCCTATCATTGAAGTTATGGTTGGAGGAAGACAGGATTTAAATGAGTACATGTAATAAAGTGTTAAAATTACTAAGATAGTATAAGGGGGTGTGCCTGGCTGGCTCAGTCACTTGGGCATTTGCCTTCGGCTCAGGTCATGATCTCAGGGTCCTGGGATTGAGCCCTGCATTGTACTCTTTGCTCAGTGGGGTGTCTGCTTCTCCCTCTGCCCCTTACCCCTTGCTTGTGCTCTCTCTCTTTCTCTTTCATAAATAAAATTATAAGAAAAAGAAAGAAATAGATTGTGGTCATACATGCAGGGGTGGGAAGAGCTGAGTTCCTTAGCAAAATTTGCATAAAGAGGAGGGGTTAAAGCAACCTAGAGAATGTGTTTTATTTTGCAGGTGTGTACCATTAGAGGTATGTCAGGTCAGTTTAAAAGCATCATATCTAGCATTTTTTTTTTTTAAGATTTAATTTATTTATTTGACAGACAGAGATCACAAGTAGGCAGAGAGGCAGGCAGAGAGAGAGAGAAGGGGAAGCAGGCTCCCCGCCGCCCAGAGAGCCCGATGTGGGGCTCGATCCCAGAACCCTGGGATCAAACCTGAGCTGAAGGCAGAGGCTTTAACCCACTGAGCCACCCAGGCACCCTATATCTAGCATTTTTTAAAAGGAATAATGCATCTCTCACAGTTACTTATTTACAGTAAGTTATTTAGTGGAAATTTTTTGTTTTTAGTTTTATATATGTGTCTATATTGGTCAAAATGTAAAATACATTTCTTACCATAATGCCAAATCAGTCTGAAAAATATTCTTCTAGTCAAATGATAACAGGGTTGGTTGGCTTAGCCTTAAAGCACTGGACAGGATTTTTTCTAGTGTTTGTTTGTTTAACTTGTTAGTTTTCTCTGAATCTCTTGCTTTGGGCCCTTGGTTTTTTCCTGCTAATTTTCTTTTACCTCTACCCTCCACAGATTCTTATTCCTTTCATTCTTGGAAAACCAAGGTCCTTTCATTATAAGACAAGAGTTACAAACTTGGCCTACAGAGATTGGTGAAGAGTGCATACCTCATCTAAAAGAGCATGCACTCTATTAGTTACATTCTTTGAAGAAATAGTGGTCTGGTGATCTTATAGTGTCTCTTGCAATATTGGAAATACACATTTTTAAGTGAAGTCTTTAGATTTTGAAATATTGGTAGCTAATCCAAAGTTTTAAACATTGTGTAAGCCAAACAAAACATACCTGCTAGCTGGATTTGGCCCAGTTTACAACCTCTGTAAGCCAATCCCAACATTCTTTCCTAATGAGAACAGGTTGCCTCAACACCATCTATCCAGCCAAAATATTTTTTTCCTAAGTATTTGAGAATAATGGAGTGGTGCATTTGGTATGAGGACAAGTGAATATATTAGCCTCACTCAGCTGCTCAAGTAAAGAGTTGTTAGATCATGAAATGCTGGTGGCTGACTTCCTGTGGAACTGTGAGGTTCAATAATAAATCTGCTTATTTTGTATGGTGTTAGGAATTTCTTTATGCCTACGTGGGTAGTATTATGCCTACATGTCCTAAAATTTGGTAAAGCAAAAAAAAAAAAAAATTTTTTTTTTTTTTTTTCACTTTTTAAGAAGGAAGTCAACTTACAGCTATGTATGTATATCTGATACTTTCGGTGAGAGTCCCTTGGATTTTGAGTTAGAAGACAAGGATTTGTGTCTTACTGCCATTCTTTACTACCCTGCCTGGATGAAACTACTGATCTTCTCTGAGTGGGTTTCAGGTTTCTTATTGTTCTGAGCCATATTCATTAAGTTACTGTCAATAAAGAGCAATAAAAATTGCAAGGTTCTCTGCAAGTATTATGTACATATATGTTTTCATTGTAAGTCCTTAGACATTTTTAATTTATTAAATAATTAAATGCTATTAAGTATTAAATAATAATTAACTTTCATTTCAAAGATCTTTAGTTGACGAACAGTCTTCTGTGAGATCCATCATATCTGCTAACTCCTTGAAACAGATCAGTGAGCAGAAAAGTACTAATACCAGAGATACAAATAAAGGAACAAAAGAGCAGCTCATCATTGTGAGTAAATTTAAAACAAAGCTCCTCCTGTTTTGTGGCTCTTACATACAGAACATGAAGTCAGACATCTTGGCTTAGCGTAGTTAACATGGTTTAGAGACATTTTGAGTTTTGTAAATGCCAGCTTTGTTGTAGTGATAGCCTTTAAAGCTAGTCGAGTAGATTTTCAGACTCATAATGTTAGACAATGCTAGTAATTTAGTAGAATACTGATGAATAAGTGGTCTCCAGATAAGGAAAATTATTGGTGATCCACAAAAGATGTAATGAGCATAGCCACACTGTATTAGACCTGGGCTTGGCAAATTATGGCCGTGGACCAAATCTGAACTATGGCCTGTAAACTAAGAATAGCTTTGACGTTTTTAAAGGGTTGGCAAAAAGAAAAAGAGAAGAATATGAGACAAAAAGAGCCTAAAATATTTTCTGTCTTTCCCCTTGCAGAAAAAGTTTTCCAGCCCCAGTATTCATTCAGAACTTGGTGTTTTTAGTAGCATTAAGTATTGCCTTATGAGATAAAATGGAAATTAATAAGCCATACAATTGAATATTCCTAACTATCCTATAGTCATGAATTTATCTGTGCTTTTTCTGATCTTTTATTATGTATTACATTTGTTTTTTTTTTTATTAACTCTTAGGGCAAAGAATTTTAATATTCCTAATCACTTAAGGAAAAAGTACTATATAACGAATATACAAGTACTGAGATTTTTGCCCTCCCCTTTGAAACAAGGCCTTTTCAGATCTCTCATTTAAGAGCTTAATAAAGAGGCTCTATTGTTCATCTTAACTATTGCCTTTATGATTTGATTCCTTCTAGAACTATGGGTCCAGGCAAGGAATCTTGATTTTTTTATACCATCAAAGAAACAGTTTCATTTCTTTCATCAATTTATTGCATTTTTAGGTTTCTTCTCATTCCATTATTTTTAGGAGATGGGGGAAGAGCATATAGTAACCAGACTTTGATTTAGTATTTCACTCATGCCGGCATAAAAGAAAAATAGGGAGAAATTTGAGTGAGTGGTTACATGAACTAAACATAGAGCTATTTGTGATATGTTTAAGATAGGCTTTCTCTTTTTCTTTTCCCACATACAGGACGCAGGTCAGAAACACTTTGGAGCCACCATGTGTAAGTCTTGCGGCATGATCTACACTGCTTCCAGCCCTGAAGATGAACTGCAGCATGTTCAGCATCACTACAGATTTCTGGAGGGCATCAAATACACTGTAAGTCAAAAATAGTCTTTCAGTTTGGTCTAAAAGTAAAACTGCCTTAGAAGATATATTTCTTTTAAAAATAAATATATATGTGTGTGTGTGTGGGTGTGTATACATATATATTTTTTCTTTTGCTTAGATGTTGAAAAGGCATATATGATCCATAAATAATACCATCTGTAGTTTTATTGTCTTAATATTTGAGGCTGATGATACTCAAAAGCTGAATTTTAATAAAAGTGCCAGTTCAAACTTTCTATCCTAATATAAGAGAAGTATTGTTCTAGGTTGAGTGAACACCCTATTCCTAAGTCTAGCCTTTTGAGCAGAGCTGAACGATGAGGATACAAAACTCAAAGACTTGAGGAAACCCTCACTTCCCTGGACCTCCTCACTTTACTTTCTTCTTTTTGGATAGTCTGACTTCTCCAGACTCTTTCTTTTCTCATAGGAGAAGTTCCATCTTTTTATTAAGCACCTTTCTAGTCCAGTACATCCTGTTATTGGCTTTGTGACAGTTCCTGCTACTCAAATGCATTTCCTTTTTTCCTCTATTTTTAGTGTGGTTTATTAAAACTGCTTATTCTAGCCCTCCCCCACCTTCCTACTGCTATTAAGTCATCATTTTTTCTCTATATTGCTATGAAGGGCTCTTTAATTGACTTCGTCTTATTTTGTAGTAAATTATGTACATGTCTCCCACTAGGGTGTCAGCCTCCTGAGGACTGGCATTTTATTTTAGGCATCTTTTATTTCCCTTCTCACATTCCTTTACATGGATTGTGTCTTTTTTCGTAGCATTCATTGTTCATCTTTTTGTTCTCTCCAGACTATTTGATGGTTTTTTTCCCCCTTCTTCAAATTAAACTGTGACTTTTTTTCTTTTTGTCAGGGCTGGAAAAAAGAACGTGTAGTAGCACAGTTTTGGGATGGGAAAATTGTGTTGGTCCTGCCACGTGATCCAAGTTATGCTATTAGAAAGGTATGGAGCATTAGTTTTTTAATCCTTATTCTCCTCCTACTCCCTCTTTCTCCTCTCACCAAGAAATCAACCTAAGTATAAAATACCATTCCTAAGAGCTAATCCACTTCAGTGCACATGCATGTATGACTTTCATTCTGGTTTATACAAAACTAAATTAAAAATTATAAGACAAAATGTCAGTAAAAGATTAAAGAAAACAGTTATCTGTTTTATCTTTTACCTTCATTTTCACTTATGAAAGATAAATTAAGCTTTTTAATATTGAGAAATTGCCCCCATAGTCTTTTTCTGTATTGGTATTGTCGTTTCTTGGGCGGGATGTTGTGCCCCCAGTAAACAGTGAATAAAGCTGAAACAATCTCTTCTGGCACTTCCCACTCCTTGCTCCCCCAGGAGTCTGCATTTCTTTCCGCTGAGAGTGATCTATAAAATCGGTTTTTCAGACCCTGTTTCCAGAGTGACAGATACATACATCAATAGTGAAGTAATTTAGGGAGTGTGTAAATTTAGGAAATAGAGGTAAAAGAGGCTTAAATGATAGTAATCATAAATTAATCTCTTCTCATGTCTAACATCGTTAGGTAGAAGATGTCCAAGAACTGGTCGATAATGAATTGGGCTTCCACCAAGTTGTTCCCAGATGTCCAAACAAAACCAAGACTTTTCTCTTCATATCTGATGAAAAGAGAGTAGTTGGGTGTTTAATTGCAGAGCCCATCAAACAGGTATGGTATGTCTTTTAAATTATTGTCATAACATGTGAGCAAAATAAAGCAGTTGGGTGAAATCTCAATAAGCATTTTAAGCATGCTACCATTAATGACTTTTTTCCCTACTAAAGTATTTTTGACCATGTGGATAATTGAAGTCATTTATTTCTATTAGATTTGGTATTTTGTCATATGTAAGCAGAGTAAGTCAGTCTTATGTTCGTGTAGTCATCTCCATACCCGGGCTGTAAAATACAGGGATTTTAAATGAGCAAATCTATAGAGCCCAGATATTGAACATGTGGCTTAATGCAGGTTAATATATCTGGCAAAATAATTATTGTCCCTTAATTAGCATCTATTTTAAGTGCTAATTAGCAATGTTCTTGAAGAAGAATTGGCAAACTTTCATCCCATGGACCAAGTGAAGCCCACCACCTGTTTTATAAATAAAATTTTATTGGAACATAGCTATGCTTATTTATTTCCATATTATCTAGGGTTGCTTTTGTAACAGAGACCACATGGCTCAAAGTGCCTAAAATACTTACAACTTGGCCTTTCACAGAAAAAGTTTGCCAACATTTGTTCTAGACTAGAGAGTTTTTGCCTTCAAGGAGCTTACAGTATAATCTTTAGCTAGAGAGAACTGTAGTTCAAATGTGTTCTTTTTACCTGATCTTATAGTATTCTACCCTTATGTCTCCTTTTAAAAATACTGTTTCGGGATGCCTGGGTGGCTCATTTGGTTGAACGGCTGCCTTCGGCTCAGGTCATGATCCCAGCGTCCTGGGATCGAGTCCCACATCGGGCTCCTTGCTCGGCGGGGAGCCTGCTTCTCCCTCTGCCTCTGCCTGCCTCTCTGCCTACTTGTGATCTCTGTCTGTCAAACAAATAAATAAAATCTTTAAAAAAATAAAAATAAAAATAAATAAAAAATAAAAATACTGTTTCAATGTCTTAAAATGAAATTAGCATAAATTTATCCTTTACCTTTGTATAGGTCTTCCTTTTCTCCTCTCATTTCTACAACCTATTTTTTTTTTTAAAGATCACATGTACTTATTTGAGAGAGAGCATGCGCACAATCGGGGGGAGGGGCAGAGGGAAAGGAAGAACCAAATTCCTGGCTGAGCTGGGAGTCGGCTGCAGGGCTCAATCCCAGGACCTTGGGATCATGACCTGAGCCAAAGTCAGATGCTTAACAGATGGAGTCACCCAGGCACCCCTCATTTCTACTATCTTTATTGTTCTTCCTTATTTTCTTTTTTTAATCTGCCTTTTCATTGTGCATATATGTGATACCCATAAATATGTGTGTGTATGTGGAAATGTGTGTGTGTATATATATGAGATATATACACAATATTTGTGTGTATATATATGAGATATATACAGACATATCCACATATACTCACACATAATATAGGGTGTCTTGTGGGTTTATCAGAAAATGGAGAGAAAAGTTACTGGTTTGTATTAGTGATCAATTTGGCCTTTTCTTTCATTTTAAGGAAGTAGACTATTTATGTAGTGATGATAGGCAAATACAGCCAAATATATTCTCTTCTACTTTTTATTTCTTACTTCATTCAAAAGCAAAGTTTTCTTGATGTTAGTTAAAAATTAAGTACCCACCTATCAGAATAGCTACATTTAAAAATAGTGACAATACCAAATGCTGGCAAAGATGCAGGGAAACTAGATCTTTAGACATTGTTGGAGGAATGTAAAATGTTAAGACTGCAAAACATTTGGCAGTTTTTGTTTGTTTTTTTGTTTTTTTTTTTTAAGATTTATTTATTTCAGAGAGAGGGAGAGAGTGCCTGAATGTGCACCCAGTAGGGAAGGTCAGAGGGGAAAAAAAGAGGGAGACCCAGTGCCAGACCCAGTGCCAGTGCAGGACTCGATCTCACAACCCTGAGATCACAACCCAAGCCAAAGCCACGAGTTTAACACTCAACAAACTGCACCACCCAGGCACCTTGGCAATTTGTTAAAAAATTAATCATACGTTTTTCATATGACCCGGCAATCCTACCCCTGGGCATTTATCCCAAAGAAATGAAAACTTACTCTACACAAAAGCCCATACCTGATTTTTTTTTTTTAAAACAATTTTATTTATTTGACAGAGATCACAAGTAGACAGAGAGGCAGGCAGAGGCGGTGGGGTGGGGGGAAGCAGGCTCCCTGCTGAGCAGAGAGCCCGATGCAGGGCTCGATCCCAGGACTCTGAGATCATTACCTGAGCTGAAGGCAGAGACTTAACCCACTGAGCCACCCAGGTACCCCCCGTGACTGAATGTTGATAGCAGCTTTATTTGTAGTAGTCAAAGCCTGGAAACAATGAAAGTATTCTTCAGTAGGGAATGATTACACAATTACACAACTGGTACATCCATACAGTGGAATATGACTTAGCAATAAAAAAGAACAAACTGTTGATATATGCAACAACTTGGATAGATGTCAAGCGCATTGAGCTAGTGAAAAAAAACATGATCTCAGAAGGTCACCTGATGTATGATTCCACTTAAATGACATCCTCAAAATAACAGAATTATAGACATAACAGATTGAAGTAGCCAGGCCTTAGAGCTACTGAAGGGAAAAAGGTGGGTGACACTATACAGAGGCAGAAAGAGAAAGATCTTTGAGATGATACAGTAGCTCTGTGTACGGGTTGGCTGTGGTGCTACTTAAATGAATATACAGGTATGATGAATTGTTCCCTGACATGGAACTATATGCATACATTATACCTCTGTTAATTCCTTGGTTTTGTATTGTATTTTTTCTTTTAAGATTTTTATTTATTTATTTGACAGAGATCACAAGTAGGCAGACAGGCAGGCAGAGAGGGAGGAAGGAAAGCAGGCTCCCTACTGAGCAGAGAGCCTGAAGTGGGGCTCGATCCCAGGACCCTGGGATCATGACCTGAGCTAAAGGCAGAGGCTTTAACCCTCTGAGCCACCCAGGTGCCCCTTGATATTGTATTATAGTTAGGAAAGATATAACCACTGGAGGAAACCCAGTGAAGGATACATTATTTCAAAATAGAAAGTTTAAAAAAATCCTTAAATACCAACCAAATTTCATAGTATTAATTAATATGCAAAAATCTTCCTTAGTTTTATCAGTTTTTTTGGATATCATAAATATGGTTGAGGCTGGAAAGAATGGGAGAAGTTTATGTACTGGATTAAAAGTAAGAGTCTGAGGGTGCCTGGGTGGCTCAGTGGGTTAAGCTGCTGCCTTCGGCTCAGGTCATGATCTCAGGGTCCTTGGATCGAGTCCCACATCGGGCTTTCTGCTCAGCAGGGAGCCTGCTTCTCCCCCTCTTTCTGCCTGCCTCTCTGTCTACTTGTGATCTCTCTCTGTCAAATAAATAAGATCTTTAAAAAATAAAAATAAAAAAAAAAGTCTGATTTTTATAATTTTTTAATCAAAAGGAATTTCATAATGGTATATAATACACTAGAATGTAGGAATATCTCAACACCACTAGTTTTTGTTTTTAAGCATTGTGTGACTAAATGGATAAGAATTCAAAAAGTATCAGAATTTTAACATTTTTGGTGAAGGTATATAACAGGATTAATTTTAGATACTTAAGTTTTCTTTAAGGAATGGCTTTTAAAAAGAAATATGAACACAGCTGTTTTTGTTAGCTCTAGATGTGTCTGTATATCATTGCAGGCCTTCCGTGTCCTTTCTGAACCAACTGGTCCAGGATCCCCAAGCTCTAAAGAATGTCACCGGGCTTGGCAATGTTCAGATGTACCAGAGCCTGCAGTCTGTGGAATAAGTAGAATCTGGGTCTTCAGACTGAAACGAAGAAAGCGCATTGCACGACGATTGGTAGATACTCTCAGGTAAGAAATAAAATAAAATGAATCTAGACCCAGATTAGCTTTCCCAGAACCTTTCCCAGCTCGTGAGTCAAAGGGAATGAGTCAAAGGGAATGATGTTGTTAAGACACCTTTGTTTAAATATTACCAAAGTCAGGCTAAGGCAAGTGTTGGCACTGGGGGGAAAACCCAGTTTAGGGCACAATATTCCAAGTGTGAAACATGATAACCCAGAGCTACTCAAACTACCTGTGGTGAAAAACTAGCTTAATTATATACCAACCCTTTAATAAAAACAATAAAATGAGATGAATTGCTAGAAAACGAGAAATATAAGCCCAAATTTTTATTAGATTCAACAGATGTAAATAAAAGTTAACATTGCAATAAATGCAATTTATACAAACAAAATTTAAGTTTAAAAAATAACTATAGAAATTGTACTTGTTCATTGACTAGTGTGTGACCAGGTATAATTAATGAAGACTTTACTATAATTCACGGGTGCAACTAAATGTAAAAGTGAATTAGCAAGGCAGCCCACAAAATGGGAGAAAATTTTTTTTTTTTTTAAGATTTTATTTATTTATTTGACAGACAGAGATCACAAGCAGGCAGAGAGGCAGGCAGAGAGAGAGAGGGAAGCAGGCTCCCCGCTGAGCAGAGAGCCCGATGTGGGGCTCGATCCCAGGACCCTGGGATCATGACCTGAGCCAAAGGCAGAGGCTTTAACCCACTGAGCCACCCAGGCGCCCCGGGAGAAAATATTTACAAATCATTCATTTAATAAGGGTCTAGTATATCCAGTATATATGAAGGAACACTTACTACACAACAATAAAAAGACAGGTAGCCCAACTTCAAGATGGGCAAAAGATTTCAGTACGTAGTTCTCCAAAGAAAAAATACATATGGCTCCTATCAGGGATTTGCAAACCCAAACCACAATGAGATACCACTTCACACTCAGTAGCGTGATTATAAGTTTTTTTTTAAAGGGGGAAGATAACAAATATGGGTCAAGATATGGAGGAAATTGAAATCCTTGCATGTTGCTGATAGGAATGTAGGATGGTACAGCTACTGTGGAATAGTCTGGTAATTTCTCAAAAAACTAAACTCTTAACTGTATGACCCAGCAATTCTACTCCAAAGGTATATACTTAAAAGAAATGAAAGCATGTGTCCATATAAAAACTAATACATGAAGCTTCATAACAGCATTTTTTGTAAAAGCCAAAAAGTATAAATAACCAAATTCATGATTAACTGATATATATAATGTGGAATTTCCATGCAATAATACAATGGAATATTATTTGGCCACAAAAAGGAATGAAGTATTAACCTGTACTACAACATGGATGAACCTTGGAAATGGTATGCTAATTGGGAAAGCCAATCACAAAAAAACCCATATTGTATGATTCTATTTACAAAAAATACCTAGAACAGGCAAATCCATAGATAGAAAATAGACTAGGAGTTTCCAGACTAGAGTTTCCAGGGACTAAGGACAAGGTGAGTGGTGAGTGACTATAGATAGGTACAGGGTTGCTTTTTGGGGTGATGAAAATGTTCTGGAATGGATATTGGTGGTAGTTTCACTGTTGTGTGAATATACAAAAAAAAACACTGAATTGTACACTTTTAAAGGGTGAGTTTTATGATGTATGAATTATATCTCAATTAAAAATAGTGATTTGCTATTTTAAATTCCCAGCTGCACATTTTCAACTAACATTTAATTATTTGAAGTTTCTTCCGTGACAGATGAACTTAATTTCTTCCTTCTTCATGTACCTACCTGATCTAGGTTGGCTGGATGAGTTTCGCAAAACTTACTCTCTTGACCCGAGATAACAGGTTACAATCCTGTTATCTTTGACCACACTTTGACCAGACCAGGAACCAGGCTTCGAGTAGCACTTGTCTAGAATTTTGAGTCCTGTACACTTTTTAAAAACAAAACCACTACGGGATCCAGTGTTGGGCCATCATCCTACTCCCCTACACATTCCTTATAAAGGGGAGCAATGAGAAAAATTAGTGTCTGTAAGATTTTTGACAGTTAATTATGAACTATCTCTATTTTCTGTGTATTAAGAGATGCATGCCTTTGGCATGGGGAATATGAGGCCGTCTTCATAGGGGAATATGAGACCGTCTTCATATGGGAATATGGGGAATAAGACTGTCTTCACCAGTCCGTAGTATGGTGCTTCTCAAATGTAAACGTGCGTATGAGTCACCTGGGGATCTTGTTAAAATGCAGGTGTGATTCAGAGATGCGAGTGGGGCTTGAGAATCTGCATTCCTATGGGGCTCTCAGGGGCTGATGAGTGTTTCTGGTCTGTAGATAGTACTTTGGGTACCCAAGCAATAGGTTATCCATAAGCAATAATGAATAAAAATTACATTGCCTTCAATGAAAAAATAAGAACACTTTCATTTGAGAACATCTCTTTCTTTTCACGTCCATGAGTTAAAGCTACAGGCAGCATAATTGGCAGCTATCTTGTCTAAGAGGAACTTTGGGCTCAACTCTCTCATTTATACAGGCAATACATATTTAAATCTTTGTAAGAGTCGAATATTGTTCCTAGTTTTATCTAAGAAGCAACTGAGGCTCACCTGGGATTATTAATACACGTCTACACTGATAGGCAAATAGAAGGACAGAGTTAGGGCTCAAACCCACAGATCTAATGTTCTTTCCATAGCTGATACCACTTATAAAGATAGTAAGACCTGTTCAATCAAACCAATATTTTGCCTTGGATTCTAGTAAATTTAGCAGTAAACTTTGTATGAAATTGCTTAGTATACCATATGCTTGTATCTTCTAATTGAATCCAATCTTTAGTTTTTTATTTTTTGAACTAATTTCAAGCCTATAAGAGTAGCAAGAATAGTAAAAAGAAACCCTTATTTACCTTTGCCCAGATTCATCAAGTTTTAACATTTACTTTCTTCCTGAATTATTTAGAAGTGAGTTATATACATTATGCCTCTTCAGCTCCTCTTACTTCAGTGTGTATTTCTTGAGACCAAAGATAAAAGGTAGTCTCTTTCATAAGCATACTTCAGTCATCAAACACAGGGTATTGAATGGGAATGTAATGCTTTCATGAATGTATAGTTCATATTTCTCTGTTGGCATTTGTCTCAAATGTCCTTCATAGCACTTTTTTTCCCTGCCAGGATCATATTGCACATAATTGTCCTAGCTCTTTCGTCTTCATCTTCCTTCACTTGGACCAGTTTCTTAGTCTTTGTCTTCTATGGCATTGAAGAATTTGAAGAGTACTGGCTGGTTATTTTTGGAATATCCCTCAATTTTGTTGAATTCTTTTAACCATTTGATTTTATAACTGTTAATCCTAGCTGAGCTGGGTCAGGAGAGTTGTGGTCAAATACAGGTTAGCTTTTGCCTCCTTAAAGCTCTGAGCGTGTGAGTGTGGTTGAGGAGAATAGTTGTTAAAATTATTGATGGTGGTTTTTTGGTTTTAATGAACTGTGGCTTTTAGTCAGCAATATTATTGTCTATTCATTGCTCATCACCATGGATCCCCCAGCATCAGCTAGATGGTTTTTATGGTTCCTTTTGCCTCTCAGCAGAATTTTTTCTGGACCTCAGTTTGCTCATCTGTGAAATGGTATCATTAAACTTCCATCTCTAAATCTAAGGCATTAAATCTCTTTACCATTTAATAATTTTTATTTTAATCATGGGTATTTAAGGGGATTGAAATTTTATAATTGGATTGCTTTAAAATAAATTATAATGATTAGCCAGAATTTTAAGTTTGTTCCACTGTTAAATTATCTTTTCCTCTTTAGGAATTGCTTCATGTTTGGCTGTTTCCTCAAGATTGACGATATAGCGTTTTCTGACCCAACACCAGATGGCAAGTTATTTGCAACCAAATACTGCAACACCCCTAATTTCCTTGTATACAATTTTAATAGTTGAAGTCAATGTCTATTATCGGACAGTTACTGTGTAGATGAGTTCAGACAACCCCATGTCATATAATGTGAACTATTTGACAAATATCAAAATAAATCTGTTGAGACACACATACACACATAAACCTGTATCAGTTTTGTTCCTTATGAATTGAAAAGTGAGGGATAAATTTGTTAAAAATTATCTGGGGATTCAAAAAAAAAAAAACTTTTTGGATAATATATACTGACTAGCACTGGAATCCTTAATTATGAAACTGTGTAGCTATAGCTGGAAAATGGTGCCTCCTACTAAAAACATTGGCAAAGCAAGTTGTTTCCACAGATACATGACCATTTTATAAAGCATACTTTTGCACCAGGATTATCTCATGCCCAATCAGAAGCAAATAGCAAAATTTAAAGATGGGCAAATAATTTCAATGCCTGGTCTTTAAAGTTAATTCCTGAATTCTGTATAAAGTGAGAAAGTTCTCACTTTATAGGTATCAGCTGGAGGAACTCAGTTTGAACAGATATAGAAAGTATTTTGAATTTTTAATTTGTGAGAGGGCTTTTCCATCTTTATGGTAAAGAATGTACAAGATTTCCATATCCTTTTATGTAGAACAGAATTCTGTAGCTTAAGGTTTTAATCCTTTCAAAAATCCTATTAAGCAAAATGTACCTGTCACTGGATCTGATTACTGATAAATGTAGTAATTGTACTGTTGTCATTTCATGACTTTTGGGAGTGTGAAAATGTTCATTGTGCTGCTTACCTTCAGTGCGCTCGTTGCTGGGGATTGATGGCGTTAACAGAATGGACCCCCAGTTTTATTAGATGATTCATATGGTTATATTTTTAATATGTTTGCGTGTTTAAAATACATCTGACTTGTTCTGAGTCTGGCAAATGTGCTGACAAAGTCAATAGTAATATATAACTGAGGTCAGTAAATCAATGTATCTAGGTGGAAGGGGCAGAGAATGTGATGACATTATGTAAACACATCAGTATGCACACATTTTTCTAGTATAATTCTTGGATACTTACTTTGAAGAGCAAAGAATATTATTTTGATTCTAAAATTCATGTAACTGCTTATCTGGTGGTAGGACTCTAGGGAAATAGTTTTCCAGATTATAACTCTAGAATCAGTTCATCTTCATTCTTCTATTTGCCTGTAATTTAACATATTCCCCAGACTTAAAAGCCTGGATTCCAAAAAGAATGTGGAAGTGTTAAAATGTCTGTAATATGCAAACATTTTAATGTTGTTTTCTGCACTGCTGTTTTAAATATTTTATTTAAAAATTTTATTAACATTATTTTGCTTGCTTAATGCTTTGTGATAAATCAATTAAAATTACTTTCAGTGTTCTCTGTTATCTTTTTTTTTTTTTTTAAGATTTTATTTATTTATTTGACAGCAGGAGAGATCACAAGCAGGCAGAGAGGCAGGCAGAGGGGGAAGCAGGCTCCTCACCGAGCAGAGAGCCCAATGTGGGGCTTGATCCCAGGACCCTGAGATCATGACCTAAGCCAAAGGCAGAGGCTTAACCCTCTGAGCCACCCAGGCGCCCCTCTGTCTGTTCTCTTATACAACCAAATGTATTGATTTTCTTTCTAAATTATTTTTGTGATTATAGAAACAGTACATGCTCATTGATTGTAAAAACCGATCATTGGAAACATATCCACACAAAAACCTGCCCAATGGAGATTTATAGCAGCTTTATTCATAATTGCTAAAACTTGGAAGTAATCAAGGTGACCTTCAGTAGATGAAAGTACATCCAGACAATGGGGTATTACTCAGTGCTAAAAAGAAATGAAATATTAAGCCCCCAAAAGGCACAGAGAAACCTTACTCTGAATTAATGAAAGAAGCCAATGTGAAAAGTTTACATACTGTATGATTCCAACTGTATGATTTTCTGGAAAAGATAAAACTATGGAGATAGTAAAAACATCAGGTGTTTGTAGGGAGGGAAGGATGAATTGGTGGAACACAGGATTTTTAGGACAGTGAAACTAGTCTATATGATACCATAAGCGTGGATACATCTCAAACATTTGTCCAAACCCATAGAATGGACAATACCAAGAGTAACCCCTAATTTGTCAGTGTGGGTTCATCAGCTGCAACAAATGTCCCACTCTCATAGGGGATGTTGATAGTTGGGGGAGGCTGTGCATGTGAGGTGGGGAAAGGAGTATATGGAAATCTCTGCTTCCTCATAATTTTGCTATGAACTTAAAATTGCTCTAAAAAAATAAAATCTTCCTAAAACAAAATTTAAAAAAAGGATAGCCTGAAAAATTATTATAACCAATGAGAATGACATATAAATGTAATATGAGATCCTAGAACGGAAGAGGACATTAGGTGAAAACCAAGTAAATCTAAATTAAGTACTAAGTATACTTTAGTTAATGTATCAGTATTGGTTCGTTGGTTTTTTAATTGTGACAAATATACCCACGTAAAATGTTGACATTTAGGGGAAGCTGGGTGTGGGGTATATGGGAATTCTCTTTAAAGTTTTTCTATAAATCTAAAATTTCTTTAAAAGTTTATTTTTAAAAATGTACACCTCAGTTATCAAACAACTTCATAGTTACTACCCTGGTTAAAAAAAAAAAAACCACTCTCAGAAGTCTCATGTTCTCTTCAATCATTTTCCTCAAATGTTACTATCCCTTTTTTTTTTTTTTTTTAAGATTGTGTTTATTTGAGAGACAGAGTAAGAGAGAGAACATGAGCGGGTGAGGGGCACTGGGAGAAGCAGACTCCCTGTTGAGCAGGGATCCCCATGCAGGGCTCGATCCCCAGACTCCAGGATCGTGACCTGAGCCGAAGGCAGACGCCCAACTGACTGAGCCACTCAGGTGCCCCTACCGTTGTTTTTTGTTTTTTTTTTTTGTTTTTTTTTTTTTTAAGACTTTATTTGAGAGAAAGCACAAGCAGGAGGAGGGGCAGGGGTGGGGGAAAGGTAGAAGCACACTCCCTGCCATGGGGAGCCTGACTTGGGGCTTGATCCCAGGACCTTGGGATCATAGGATCATGACCTGAGCCAAAGGCAGATGCTTAACCAACTGAGCCACCCAGGTGCCCCGTAACTATCTATTGATGTCTCAAATTTTAGTCTGTTTTTTAGCTTTATATAAATTGAATATGTTGTCAAGATGCATCCATGTTATTCCATCTAGCTAAAACCGATTTTCATTGCTGTATATTCCATTATAGGAATATACCGTAATTTGTACTACTGTTGATGAGCATCTTTGGTTGTGACTACTGATCTATTTATTTTTGATTTGCAACCTTTGTCATAGATTGTGTCCAATATATGGGTCTATTTCTGCCTGTTTATTCCCACTAGCCTTGTGGGTTTTCCTTATGCTAGTACCACATTGTGTTATTACATTCTTGATGTTGGTATTATAAATGCTCCCACTTTTTTTTTCCTACAAGAGTATTGGTCTTGGGGCACCTGAGTGGCTGAGTCAGTTAAGTGTCTGCTTTTGGCTCAGGTTATGATCCCAGGGTCATGGGATTGAGTCTCACATCCCTGAATTGGGCTCCCTGCTCAGTGGGGAGCCTGCTCTTCCCTCTACCTGCTCTGCCTGTTGCTTGCCCTGCTTGTACTCTCTCTGACAAATAAAATCTTAAAAAAAAAAAAAAGTATTGGGTCTATTCTTGGTCCTTTGCATTTTCATGTACAGTTTACAATCAGTTTAAGACTCTCAAAAAGCCATCACCAATTTAAAAAAACAACTGTTGGGATTTTACTAGAATCGCATCAAATTGTATTGGCCAACTTGGGAAGGATTGCGGAAGCTATTTTATCTTTTATTTGTACACATGTTCTATTTCCCCATTTATTTAGTTTCTCTGTAATTTGGGGCTTTCAATGTTAGAGAAATTACACAATGTTCTTGTGTAATTTATATAGATTTTTTTTTTAAGATTTTATTTATTTATTCGACAGAGAGAGAGAGATCACAAGTAGGCAGAGAGGCAGGCAGAGAGGGAGTGAGAAGCAGGCTCCCCTCTGAGCAGAGAGCCCGATGTGGGGCTCGATCCCAGGACCCTGGGATCATGACCTGAGCCAAAGGCAGAGGCTTTAACCCATTGAGCCACCCAGGTGCCCCAATATATATATAGATTTATTCTTAAGCATTTGATCCTTTCTTTGAAAGGATCTGGAAGTAAAGTTGTTGAAGTTTCATTTGTTTGCTGATAAAATACAACTGACTTTTCTATATTTGACCTTGCATTCAGCAGCCTTTCTAAACTTATTTAATCCAAAGATTCATCTGTAGATTCTTTTGGATTTTCAGTTTTGAATTAATGTCTCATTCCATTTTTCATAGGAAAAGCTTTCAGCATTTCACTCTTGTCTTAGTTGGGTGCTATAACAAAAATACCATGGCCTGGGTGGCTTAAACAATTTATTTCTCACAGTTCCTGAGGCTGCTAAGTCCAAGATCAAGGCACTGGCAGATCCAGGGCCTGGGGAGATCCTACTTCCTGCCTTGCAGCCTTGCTGCAGCCTCACAGGACAGAGATCATATCTCTGTCAAGGACACTAAGTCCACTTCTGAGGGCTCTGCCTTTATGACCTAATGACCTTTCAAATGTCCCTCCTTCCAGACATTAGCACGTTTTGGATTGATTAGGCTTCAACCTGAATTTTAGGGGGACATAAACTTTCTATCCATAGTAACTATAAAATGTTAACTTTGACTCGTTAGATGTAGACACACTTAAGGAAGCTCCTCTTCTCTGTTTTTAGGGGGTTTTTTTTGTTTTGTTTTGTTTTTAAATTTATTTTCAGCATAACAGCAGTATTCATTGTTTTTGTACCACTCCCAGTGCTCCATGCAATGCGTGCCCTCTCTAATACCCACCACCTGGTTCCCCCAACCTCCCACCCCCCGCCCCTTCAAAGCCCTCAGATTGTTTTTCAGAGTCCATAGTCTCTCATGGTTCACCTCCCCTTCCAATTTCCCCCAACTCCCTTCTCCTCTCTAACTCCCCTTGTCCTCCATGCTATTTGTTATGCTCCACAAATAAGTGAAACCATATGATAATTGACTGTCTCTGCTTGACTTATTTCACTCAGCATAATCTCCTCCAGTCCCGTCCATGTTGCTACAAAAGTTGGGTATTCATCCTTTCTGATGGAGGCATAATACTCCATAGTGTATATGGACCACATCTTCCTTATCCATTCATTCGTAAAAGGGCATCTTGGTTCTTTCTACAGTTTGGCGACTGTGGCCATTGATGCTATAAACATTGGGGTACAGATGGCCCTTCTTTTCACTACATCTGTATCTTTGGGGTAAATACCCAGTAGTGCAATTGCAGGGTCATAGGGAAGCTCTATTTTTAATTTCTTGAGGAATCTCCACACTGTTCTCCAAAGTGGCTGCACCAACTTGCATTCCCACCAACGGTGTAAGAGGGGATGTGGAGAAAGTTTTTTTTTTTTTTTTTAAGGTTTTATTTATTTATTTGACAGAGATTACAAGTAGGCAGAGAGGCAGGCAGGGAGAGAGAGGAGGAAGCAGGCTGTCCGTGGAGCCAAGAGCCTGATGTGGGGCTCGAACCTAGGACCCTGGGATCATAACCTAAGCCTAAAGCAGAGGCTTTTAACCCCCTAAGCCACACAGGTGCCCCTGTTTTTAGGTTTCTAAGAGGCTTTTATTTTTATTTTCTAAGCTTTCAAATGTCTTTAACTGGATTTTTTTTTTTTTAAAGATTTTATTTATTTGACAGAGATCACAAGTAGGCAAAGAGGCAGGGAGAGAGAGAGGAAGGGAAGCAGGCTCCCCGCTGAGCAGAGAGCCCAACTTGGGGCTCGATCCCAGGACCCTGGGATCATGACCTGAGCTGAAGGCAGAGGCCCTAAACCGCTGAGCCACCCAGGCGCCCTTTAACTGGATTTTATCAAAATTTTTCTTCTTTGGAGATCACTGAATTTTCATTGGGCGAATATGATGATTACATTGTTCTTTGAATGTTAAGTCAATCTGGTCTTGCTGAAATAATTCTCAACTTGGCCTTGAAGTTTTTATATTACTGGTTTTGGTTTACTAATACTTTTGGATTGTTTTCAGCTGTTCATGAATGAGACTGAGTATCTGTAGGGTATGCACTGTTTCCTTTTTGCATTAGTGATGCCTTTTTTACTCTCTGATGACTCTTACTAAGGCTTATTAGGCTTACGAATTTTATTTGTATCTTCAAAGAACTTTTGACACTG